GTATTTTTTAATGTCAATTGCTATTAATTATAATAAAAATAATTTTTTAGCAAAAAAATATATAATTGAGTTGTAATTACTTTCAGACATATTTTTCAAAAAGATAACATCTATTTTATAATTTTTTATTTAAATTAAATTTAAAAATAATATAACTTTTTCTCTCAAAATATTTAAATATCACCAAAAAAAATTTTGATTTCAAAATTTTGAATACTATTAAAAATTTATCAATTTTTTATGTAATAAAATTAGCCTATATCAAATGTGAAAAATCAAATATCCGTTCTCAAAATTTTGCCCCCTTACTATGATTGCCTTGGAAGAAATGCAGTCCAAAAAATGACACATGTTCTGAATTATTGATTCAACTTGTCTTTTAAATATTTTAATTACACGTGATGAATGATGCATTATTCTCAAATCTTTAGTTTAATGATTAAAAGCGTTTAAGTGGATATCAAAAATTTAATTTTGAATCAATTTTTTTTATTTATATTAAAATTTTATTCTCTTGATGCAAAAAAAAAAAAGAAAGGACGCATCGACTTGAATTTAGTGGACTGACAAGAATAAGAAAAAAAAGAATATTATTTAATGTAATTACTAATCTAGAAAAAGAAAAAAAAATGGAAAAGCAATAAGAGTCATCTTATGACGTTTATGCCTTTCTTAAAGTCCACTGATGGCTAAACTAAGTCACCGTCCATACAAATTGAAGTTTTAACAAATTTCTTAGGTCATGAATATTAAAGTTAAATGGTCACTTAATTTTTTTTGTAATTTTTATTTTAATCATTCATTTATAAAATCTTATGTTTTACTCATTAATATTTAAGTACAAATTGAAGTTTTAACAAATTTCTTAGGTCATGAATATTAAAGTTAAATGGTCACTTAATTTTTTTTGTAATTTTTATTTTAATCATTCATTTATAAAATCTTATGTTTTACTCATTAATATTTAAGTACAAATTGAAGTTTCAACAAATTTCTTAGGTCATGAATATTAAAGTTAAATGGTCACTTAATTTTTTTTGTAATTTTTATTTTAATCATTCATTTATAAAATCTTATGTTTTACTCATTAATATTTAAGTACAAATTGAAGTTTCAACAAATTTCTTAGGTCATGAATATTAAAGTTAAATGGTCACTTAATTTTTTTTGTAATTTTTATTTTAATCATTCATTTATAAAATCTTATGTTTTACTCATTCTATTTAAGTAAGTATTTTATGACATTCGACCGTTTTTAATGAAATTCTAATGAGACATTTCCTAATGCCAGTCCCTACATATCAATACCCATATTAAAAAAGAAAAAAAAATCCCCATGGCATTATAAAAAATAAAATAGGTATACTTTGATTAATCTTTCAATTTGTTTCATTTTCATACTTCCTCTATTTATAAGTGTGTATTCGATCAATTCGATTAATTTTAAATCAAATTATTTAAAATTAAATTAATTAAATTAAATTATTTTATTTTATTTTCGTTAATTTAACTAAATTTATTAATTTAAAAAATTAACAACTTAAATTTAATTAGATTGATTCAGTTAAATTTTTGATTAATCAAATAATAAATATATTTAAATTAAATTATATTTTAAAATTTTAATTTCTTATATTTAAAAAAAACTAAATAAAATTAATTATCAAAATATTTAAATATCTATCTGTGTAATTGAGCCACAGATTCAAAATATAAATCTTAGTTCTGCCAAAATGCATTAGAATATACAGTCTTTTGTTGTAGCGTTAGCATCATGACTTGTGATTGTTCCTTGTATGTTTTCTCAGAATTCAGGACTGCCCAATCTTTAATTCATTCCATTAACTGCATCATTATAGGAGGATAATAATAATAATAATCTTTGTGTGGATAAACCTTGCTGTCAAGACTTTTCCAGTTGGTTCATGAGAGAGAATATTATTATGGTTTGTATAGGCAGCAAATTGAGTGTCTTTTTCATCTTTGTGCAAGAAAATGTCAATGTTCACACAGTCCGAAGTTTCCTCTCATTTCCACCATTCATGAAATCTCGATTTCTTCCATTCCATATTCATAATTCTAGGTCAAAGCTGGATTTTCACTCCCCTTTTCAAGAAAAATAGGCACCAAAAAATGTCTTAAGGAAACCCTTAACAAAAGACGAGGAAAGTACAAAAAAAAAAAGTGCAGGGAAGAGCTTGTCTTGTGAGCATAAAAGCCACGAAAAGAACAAATGAAAAGAGACGAATGCAGCAGGGCACTGCCTGTTGCAATTGTGGTTGGAATTGCAGTACTTGCTGGTTTTATACTTTTGCCTCAACAATACCACTGTAGGGTGAATGAATGCAAGTAATTCTGTGAATGCAGTTTGCAGGATCATTCTTGTAGTTGTGTTACATTCTCTAAATTTTCACTTCAATCCATTTTGTTACTTCCTTGGATCCCAGGTGCTGAAACTGCAATATCGACATTGTTTTGAAAGAGCAGTTCTATCTATAGGTTTCAAGAGACCGGACAGCAAAGCAGCCCTTGCAAACAGGTTTCACCCCGTGTCTGTGTGATGTGTCCCAGCAAAGGTGCTCAAATTTTGGTTTAAATCAAATTAATAGATTGGATCGATTTAATTTAATTAATTGGTAACTTGAAAAAATTTTAATTAAAATATAATAAAATCTATATATAAATTTAAAATAATACATTTATTTTTTTAAAATTATTAATTTAATATTTTTATAAAATAATTTTATTTAATTTATTTCACATATAAAAAATTAAAAATTAAAAATTTAATTTGATTCAATTGATTAAATTTTAAAATTAAAATTTTAATTAAATAAATGAATAATTTAATTTAATTAATTTTATTCAAAATTAACCTAATCAATCTAACTATATAATTTCATCAAAGATTATTTTTAATATCTAATCATAAGTTTAAATTTTATTGAATTTTTATATAATATAATTAAATTTATCATATCATCAATTAAATTTAAATATTAATTTTAATAAAATTTATTTAATGTTAAATTTTTATTTAAATATTTTAATCATAATTACAATAAAAATTTTATTAGTAATTATAATAATAATTATTTTTATTTTTATTATTATCCAAATTAATTTTACCGCCAATCGAAATCACGATTGCCATCCTAACAGATACTTCAATTAAATAGTCGCGGTTGCCGTCCCAACAGATAAGATAGTGCCGTCCAATAAACTTATTTCTATGATTGCCTTAGAAGAAGATGCTGTCCAGAAAACGACACATGTTCGAACCCTGAACTGAATATTTGATTTGACTCTTCTTTATCTGTTTTAACTACCCGTGACAAAGGAAGTATTGTCTTTTCGACTTGAAATTTAGCGGGCGGACAAGAATAAGAAAACATATATATATTATTTAATACAATTACCGATATAAAAAAGTAAAAAAAAAAAAAAAAAAAAAAAGCAATAAGAGAGTCACTCTCAATGCAAATTGAAGTTTTAACAAACTTGTTAGGTTACGAGTATTAAAGTTAAATGGTCAACTAATTTTTTTTTGTAATTTTTATTTTAATCATTCATTTATAAAATCTTATGTTTTAATCATTAATATTTAAGTAAATATTTTATGACATTCGACCGTTTTTAATGAAATTCTAATGAGACATTTCATAATGCTAGTCACTACATTTCAATATACCCAATAGCATAAAAAATATCCCCATGGCATTATAAAAAATAAAATAGGTATCCTTTGATTAATCTTTCAATTTGTTTCATTTTCATACTTTCTTTATTTATAAGCGTGTATTTGAACAATTTAATTAATTTTGAATCAAATTATTTAAAATTAAATTAATTAAATTAATTTTTTTTTGTTAATCAAATTAAATTTATTAATTTAAAAATTATAAGATCGAATTTGATTCAGTTAAATTTTTTTATTAATTGAATAATAAATATATTTAAATTAAGTTATATTTTAAATTTTTATATTAAAAATAAATAAAATTAGTTAACAAAATATTCAAATATTCAAATATTATATTAAAAATTTTAATAATTTATGAAATAAAATAATTTATTTTATATATTTTTTGTTTTATATTAAGATTTAATTATATTTTAATTAAAATTTAGTTTTATTCAAAATTTGAATTGAATTAATAAAAAATTAAAAAAATTTTAAAATTCTTTTATTAATTACTATAATTAATTTAATAACTAAATAATCAATTAAATTAAATCTACTCGATCAATTAATTTGATTTTAATCGAATTATGAAGATTATATACTCTCTTAACCCTCTTTTCATTCATTCAACAACTTCAACATACTTTTTATAATATTTTATAATTATTACCTTAACAAAATAATAAAAAAAAAAACCCAGAATTGTACTTTGGATGCCCATTTGTCTATTTTAACCCTTAAAAAACTAGCGTCATGGCTGATGTTTATGCATCCTATATTTGTCCTTGGCACGAAGAAATTCCAATATTCATACAAGTTTCGTCTATGGCGTAAATCACTTTGGCAATGTTCTTATAAAAGGCAGGTGCCAAAGCCCCTTACACTCCTGTCTTTGTATCTTAGCCTATACATTCAATTAAAGTGTGGAAATTTGTCCAGCCATAACTCGATCGTTCAAGACGAGTGGCACCCGCAGTGGTGGTTGAAGGGAGTGACGAAGTAGTCTCAGAACGTTTAGGTACGTTGCTTTCTTCTTCCCTTTCTTTTTCCAGTTCTATTCTGAAGATAGCAAAATAAATTGGCTGATGGTGAATGATTAAGAATGACCCTTCTCAATTTTAAAAACTGGTTGATCACAAAGAACCATTCTCAAGAACTTTGTGGAAAGAAATCACTGTCCAGTAGCAATTTTGCTGTTTTCACACGTGTGCTTTAGAGTTGCATCATATAGTTATTACTATACTGGTTTCTATAGTATTCAAGCTTCTATTTAAATTGTCCATACATAATCTTGCATATGTTTTGACCCAAGATGTTGAAATGACAGGGAAATGAAAGGTTATAATCCAGGATGGTTACTTTTGGTTGGAATTTTGGTGACACTGAGTTTACCATGTTCACAAGCCTTTTGGGGAAATGAAAATAAGATAAAAACTGCTGTTTTTCTATCTCCTAAGTTTGTGCTCGGACCAGGATCAGTGGAAAATAGATACTATTACAATGTTGACTTTCCAAAAGGTCATGTTGCCTTGAAAAGTTTTAATGCAGAAGTGGTTGATGAGGCAGGTAATTCTGTTCCGCTACATGAGACTTATCTTCATCACTGGATCGTTGGAAGATACTATGTACGTAAAGGTACCGTGGAATTATTAGAGTTTAATGACAATAACAAACTTAAGAGTTCAGATTATATTCCTGGGAGAAATAGTGGGATTTGTCAGGATGGAACGTTTGATCAGTTCTTTGGCTTTGGGTCTGAGGTACGAAAAACGGAAACTTATATTCCGGATCCTTATGGAGTTGAAATTGGTAACCCTCCTGAGATTCCTTCTGGATTTGAGGAAAGATGGATGATTAATGTTCATGCAATTGATACACGGGGTGTGGAGGATAAGTTGGGATGTACGGAATGCAGGCGTGATCTGTATAACGTTACAGTGGATGAATTTGGAAGACCTTTGATGCCAGACTACAAAGGGGGTTTGTTATGTTGCTACGATGGCACACAATGCAGGTTGAAACAAGGGTTTCAGGGAGTCAGAAGAGCCCTTTACCTTAGATACACTGTGAAGTGGGTCAATATGGATAACTCTGTTTTGCCTCTTAAAATTTATATATTTGACATTACTGATAGATGGAAAAGGTCTAGTAATTCAACAGGGATTAATTCTGAGCATGCTTGTGAGGTAGATGAATTGTTAATGTGCTGCAACAATTTTTTTTGTCAACTAAAAGTTTCTTCTGAAATATCTAGTCGCTGAATATTTCTGATGCAGGTGGAATATGATGTTGAATCTTGCCGTGCCACTGGATTGGCCGATGATGGCTGCATTGACACCAAAAGGTTAAGCCTTGACATGCCATTTAGTGGTTATGTCATATATGGTGTTGCACACCAACATGCAGGGGGCTCTGGTTCTGCTCTCTATAGAGAGGTATTGAAATATATTATAAGAATGTTAACCACTTCTCGTTCCAAAGAAATTTAGATGTTTAATATGATCATTTGGTGAAGTCCAGTAATTTGATGTCTTCTTCAGATGATGAGCTATGCCTGTCTAACTGTTGGTATGTGTTTAATTCAGGATGGCCAACTTCTGTGTTCTTCAATACCGATTTATGGGGAGGGGGAGGAAGCAGGAAATGAAGCTGGTTACATTGTAGGAATGTCCACCTGCTATCCTCAACCAGGAACTATCAAGATATCTAAGGGGGAGACACTGATTATGGATTCTAATTACAGTAATATCCGACCTCACAGTGGAGTCATGGGGGTCTTCAACATTTGGGTTGCGGACCAATTGCCCAATCCAATGCACACCTTACACACTGTTGTTCAAGTAAGTTTCTAATTCTCAGAAGAAAATTCATTAATCCAACTAGATAAGTCTTCTTAAGCAAATTCACAAATATACCATCACTGGTTTCATTGAATAAGGCTTCTTGATTATATGAACAACTTAGATTAAACCTCTGATGTTTTTATGAAACTATGATCTGATGCAGACACAGGACAGTGTTACACCGTTAACTATCCTTTGGGTCGCGGTAGCTTTGATGGGTGTGGTAACAGTTATCACTATCGCCATTGGTTATCAACTTAAACAAGAGAGAAAAGATGGCTATCAGGCAATTGTGATGTGAAATATGTTCTTATGAGCTTTGGTGTGTGTACTATTGTATCTAAGAATTCCACTAAGTTGTTGTCAAAGTAGTGATAAAGAGGCATATGAATAATGCCTTAATCTTTGTCTTTTCAACATTCCATATATGGTATGGAAGCCAGTTTGGAAACAAATTTGTAAAAATTAGACCATGTTTTTGCACTTCTGCATATGTAAATGTAATTGTTTTTGCACTTCTGCATATGCAAATGTAGGCCAAATCATGTAGAGGGATTGTCAGCAAGCCCCATTGCTGCCTTTTTGAGCCATGGATATCTCTTTCAAAGGGTAAAGTTGACATCTTGATAACAGTTGAAGTAATTGTTTCTTTCTCTGGTAGCCCTGTGTGGATAGAGGAGGAAACCAAAGTTATATGAATTAAAAAGAAAAGAAAAAAACCAAAAGACCCTCTCTAGAATCTTCTCTGTTTCTGATCCTGACTGAGGCTCTCAAAGCCCATAAAAAGAAAGGGAATTCGCAAAGCTTTGGGGCCAGTACGTGTTACCTCATTATCTAGAGCTTTAGGCTCTTCTCCCCTTTTTCTTAGTTTCAATCTGCTGTGATATTGTTTGATTGTTTCCCCGATTGATTTTGATCCTAGAAAAGTTCAAAACCCATTAAAGAGATTTGATTTTTTTTTAGGAAGGACACTTTATTAATTTAAAATTATTTAATTTGAGTTTATATGAAATCTCATATAAACCATACACATCCAAATTTTTTTATATAAAAATTAGCTCAATGCAAGATATGAATCTTACTTATTTTGATGCGCACATTATTAGCGACTTACAAAAATACGATCACATTTATATTTTTATTTAAATACAAGATACATGAGAAGTCAGTCCAATAAGAGATGCGAATATCGCTTATCTGGAGGCTTCAAGCATCACTTTTGATGGTCCCACTGTTTGGTTTGCGAGGACATGATCATATTTGTTTCTTTTATTTAAAGACAACTTGTTATTAACTGAAAATTGATTTGATTGATTTGCATTAACGCATATCTTTATATGATCCCACACAATGTCCAAACTTCCCGTTGTAGTAAGCTGTTGCTTTGGAATTTTGACTCTAAATTTCGTTCCTTTTGACCACCCCTCTCCTCCAACCAAAGAAAGTTGGTGTCTTTTGTCTTGTTTCTCTCACAAATTCTAGTCAAACATTTGGATCCTTTCCTTTAGTTGATTCTTGGGAATATTACCCTCCCTCTCAAAAAAAAAAAAAAAAGGGGTCCTGTTCTTTATTGTTTCCAATTTTATAAAACAGATCTCTTTCTTTCCAAACCTCCATGTTTGCAGAGAAGAACACCCACAAGAGACAGCATTCACAGAAACATAGGTGAAATCTGCTAAGGTAATTAGAAACGTTGTCGTTTGTATTGTTATGTCCGGGGCAGCAGTGCAGGGGGTGGAGCATGTAGGCTTGCCAAGAATGGAGGCAAAATCCATACCCGGATGTAGCAACCCTATCAAAAAACCCGGACCTGTCTCAATGGATCATGTTCTCTTGGCATTACACGAGACCAAGGAAGAAAGGGATTCGAGGATTCGGAGTTTGTTCAGTTTTTTTGATGCAGCCGATGTGGGATTTTTGGATTATGCTCAGATCGAAAAGGGCCTCTCTGCTTTGCAGATTCCGTCCGAGTATAAGTACGCCAACGATCTATTGAGAGTTTGTGATGCAAACAGAGATGGGCGCGTGGATTATCAAGAGTTTAAGAGGTATATGGATGATAAGGAGCTTGAGCTTTATAGGATTTTTCAAGCTATTGATGTGGAACATAATGGGTGCATTTTGCCTGAGGAGCTTTGGGATGCACTTGTTAAGGCTGGTACGCTATGCTCTTTATTATTATTTATAACAATTTTCAGTTTTGTTTCTCTTGCCTTGATATGTTTGATTGGTTTGTTGAGGTAGTAGCATTGATTGGGTTGATAGTGAAATCATTAAAAGTTTTGAACAATTGTAGTTATTTGCTTATAAGTTGAGAACCTGTATGTTGCTTTTGATCTTTTTAATGTCCCTTTCACTAGAAGCACTTTCAATCATTGCCAGGTAGGAGAACTTGCTTTTGCCTTGCTTGTAATTCGAACAGCTGCTAGATACCTGTAAGGAAAGTAGATTGCATTAGTAGTAATTCATCCAAAAGCATTGGTTTGGATTGCAATTTGAATTCTACCTTTATGTTTGTGTTGTTTGGAAGAGAATATCTGGTGCGGTAACTTGTTTGATAACTATTTGCAGACGGACTAATTAAAGACTAGAATTTCTTTTCTTACTTTGTATAAAATGTTTTAATAATTTACCAATTGGCTAACTGCTGTGCTTAAGGATGGGTGAGTACAGAAGTACATTTTTTCGAGTTTTTGTTGGTAGCAGATTGAAATCACTCTGATATTTTGGTGTTTATTTTTTTTTTTTTTTTTTTTGGGGGGGGGGGGGGGGGGGGGGGGGGTTGGTTTGAAACACGTGTAACTTCTACCATTGTCTAGATATTATATTGAGATTTTGGTATAGGTGCCTAGAGGATAAGCTTGAATGAGACAGCCTTTGGCTCAAAGAAATGCTGTTTTTTAGGTAAAATTTGTGAAATAATTTATGATAAATGCATTGGATCATACAGTTACCAGGTGTGACATTGTTCTTTTAATACTGTATGTCATGTAATCGCAAAACTTATATATAATGGAAGTTTAATGGAATGGCTTACACTTGCTGTCAGATACCTGTGTGTTTTGACACAAATGGCAGTACAGAAAGATAAACCTTGACATCGGTGATCATTGTAGAGCTTAACAAGAACTGTATTTTAATTGGTAATATAGAGTTGTGGGTATGTATTGTCTTGTTCAAATTTCTAAAGGAATTTGGAATAGGTTGTACTTAGGTGTTAGGAAGTTGCCTCCACCAGTTTGTTATGCAAAGCCTTTCTTTGAAATTATCTCATCAGAAGATAATGAGAGTATAAAGCTCCGCATGCCATTTGAGTTTCCTTTTTTGTGGATATATTACACTTGTTTCAGTTCTTAAATCAACAGAAGAAGAAAGGACTTTGGATGTATTTTTGAATCTGGTGTTGTTGTTCAAAGATGTGTTCTTTTAGTTTCAAACTTTTCTGAAATCAAAGTATTGGTGAGCAGAATCTGAACTATAGGTTCATTCTCTTTTAGAGAAGCTGCTAATGAGTGTTTTCTTTTCTCTAAAATCTATGTTAAGTGTGAATCTGTGATTTTTTTTTCTTTTATGAATGCATCTGTATTTGTTGAGGTACCTTGGTGAATCCTATGGTTTGGCAACAAAGGTTCTATGTGAGCTTTTTAGGGAGGTTTGCCACCATTGACAGAAAGTGTTTGTCTGGCTTGATATTTGAGACAGTGTCTTGTTGGTATACTTATGTGTCAGTTTGTTTGGCTTGATAGTTGAGACAGTTTCTTGTCAGTATAAAAATTATGTGCCAATTTGTTTTGCTGGGTGTTTGAGAGAGTTTCTTCTTGGAATATATTTAGGTATCAATTGGTGTTCTTACATAATGAGTAAACATGTCATAGACTTGGACTTGTGCATGCTATTGATGAATTTGGTGCTTCCTTTTTACCCTCCATGATTTATACCTCTAAGCTTTTTGGAACATAATTTGGGATTTATAGAGATTGGGAAATTCTGGATTGCTTCTATAATAATCGACCTATGGTGTACTGTGTGGGCTTTCTGGTTGAATTTACCCTCTATCCTATGAAAATACATAATGGTTCCTGTGCATCATGACTTCTCGGATTTAGTTCTTATAAATGCTTCATGCGGAAGGGCTGGTAGTTCCCATGGCTGCAATTAAATAGTTGTTTTCATCTTATAAGCCCTGGCAGATTGTATTTGCAGGGATTCAAATTGATGATGAGGAACTTGCACGATTTGTAGAGCATGTTGATAAGGACAACAATGGAATTATAACATTTGAAGAATGGAGAGATTTCCTTCTACTCTATCCTCATGAAGCTACTATTGAGAACATCTATCACCATTGGGAAAGGGTTTGCCTTGTAGATATTGGAGAACATGCTGTTATTCCTGAAGGCATCAATAAACATGTTAAAAGAAGCAAATATTTTATTGCAGGAGGAATAGCAGGAGCAGCTTCTCGCACTGCAACTGCCCCTCTCGATCTCCTGAAGGTGGTTTTGCAAGTGCAGACTACACGTGCTTGTATTCTGCCAACCGTAAAGAAGATATGGAAGGAAAATGGTTTTTTGGGGTTCTTCCGAGGAAATGGGTTAAATGTTGTGAAGGTAGCACCTGAAAGTGCTATCAAGTTCTATGCATATGAAATGTTAAAGAATGTAATAGGAGACAGTATGGGGGACAATAAGGGTGATATAGGTGCCGGTGGGAGATTTATTGCTGGTGGCGTAGCAGGTGCAGTGGCACAATCTGCTATCTACCCAATGGATCTTGTAAAAACTCGGTTACAGACTTATGCTTCTGAAGGTGGAAGGGCTCCAAAGCTGGGGAAACTAACCAAGGATATATGGGTTCGGGAGGGACCTCGAGCATTTTATAAGGGTCTTGTGCCATCTCTTCTTGGGATTATCCCATATAATGGCATTGACCTTGCTGTCTATGACACCTTGAAAGATTTTTCAAGGACGTATATTCTTCAAGATAGTGGTACTTGTCCACCCACCTGTGTTTTGGGCTTGCTTCTTTTTTTTTTTTTTTCATTTACTTGGGATTTTCTTCCGGATATCTTGTTCAAATTGCTTTCTGATGACTCTTATTCATTTTTGTAGAACCTGGTCCTCTTGTACAATTAGGTTGTGGAACAATTTCTGGAGCTCTAGGAGCAACCTGTGCTTATCCTTTGCAGGTTATTAGAACGAGGTATGATTATAATGTGCTCGAGGCCCTTTTTCTTGTAATTTGGGTTCATCCACATCATAATATACCGGTTTTGGTTTTGTGTCCACATTTTTGTTATATTTGCTTATTGCCGAGGGGTTTTTTTTTTTTCCCCCAGACTGCAAGCTCAATGTAGTACCTCTGAAGCTGCGTATAAGGGAATGTCCGATGTATTTTGGAGAACCTTTCAGAATGAAGGTTATAGAGGTTTCTACAAAGGACTCTTTCCTAATCTTCTCAAGGTTGTCCCAGCTGCAAGCATTACATATTTGGTTTATGAGGCTATGAAAAAGAGTCTAGAGCTTGCCTAGAGAAGTTCTGCAGTCAGGCCTGGTGGCCTTATATTTATTGCAGAAGGGAAAGTAGAGTTGATAACGTATACAACGATAATAAGATAACTAAACACATAAGATGATTATATGAGCTATATGATAGGTGATAATTCCCCTTCAGAGAATGGGGTGCATAATTTTGCAGTTTAACAAAATTTCCCCAGGCTTATCTCAACTAAATGTCAAGAATCGGGTATATATGCAGTATGATGTCTGACTTCGAAGTTGATAGGTATATGATACTATCCATTTTTTCTTCCTTTGCCTCTCTCTCGCTTTTGTTCATATTGTGTTTGAGTCAGATGCAAGAGATGATGGACCCCTCATAGATGTTGATTTGTTGAAGTTATAGGTTAGAAGAACAATTGATCTGCATCTAACATATACATTATTTTGTGGTGAAAATGGTTAGTAACTGAGCTCTAAGTAAATGGTTCTTTGTTAAGAACAAAGCATTTTTTAATGGGATTGTTGATAATATAACTGTTATTATACCAGTTTTTGATAGAATTACATTTCATGGTTAGATTGCTACTTGAACAAAGCTATCCTGAGCTTTGTAAGATTCTATTGATTGTTTGAAAGTGTCAAATACAAGTTGCCCACATGGAAGGGAGATATGCCCTTTTCTTTTCAAATCTAGGGGTACAAACGCTTTGCACCATCCACTTGTTAGCTCTACCCCATTTGAAAATGGAGAGCTGTGGGAATCTGTCAATTGGCAGTGGTTCTATTCCAAATTTCAATATTGAATCAATGACCAAATCAATTGATTCATACAACTATCGTTGAGAGATGACATGTAACAGATTTGATATTCAAAGTAAAGCATTTGCAATTTTTTCTTATTTTTGGTACAAGATTTCTTTCGTATAAAAAAATAAAACTTAATATCTACTATCGTGCTAGGTTGACCTGCAAAAGAATAATGTAGCATGGAATGAGTCAATTAACTAAGTTAATCCTTTTATTCTCAAAAGATTTGAAGGCTACAGATCCAACAAGTTGACACAAAATACTTCAACAAGAGAGACAGATTTATGTTGCTTAAGCTTTAATTATTCGCGCGCAAGAGTCAACGGAGTAATGAACAAGGATGTAGGGCAATTAGCTCTATATAAATCCACAGGAGGTTCATGTTTTTGTCTAAGCAACTAAGCATACATATGCAGGAATTTGTCTGAGTAACTTTTGAAGAAATTGGCGAAAGTTCCAGTTTCCCTCAAAGGCTTCCAATATTCCCTCGTTGGAGCTTGCGAGGGAGACTGAAGGCTTGCTCCTCATAAATTGCACCATGTATATTTGATCATTCAGCTGCATAGATGAATGGAGGCAATGCTTTTCCTTCCTCTCCTGTCATCATCCTGTCTGCAGGTAATTTATCTGTTCAAGAATAGAGTTCCTAATGTAAAGAAAATCCAAACAAGTATAATTTACTGCAAAATATGTAGGCTGTCACAAAAGGTTAGAGGGAGTTTGCATATTTGAAGTACTCATGGTGAAGACTGCAGACCCCGGACCCCAAATTCCAAATACAATCACCCACAAAAGTGGAATACGTGTGCAAAACCATGAATCTGTCATTATATGTGGTTGATCTTTCCTGGAATTATTACTTACCAAACAAACATGGAAAATAACCTGGAAAGTTTCGGAGCCACACCATGGAGCATAACCCAACTTCAACAGGAGTTACAGTACTTTAAGGGGTTCGACGTGTCTGGCTGGAGAATTGTTCTTGGGGACCCCTGGAACGGAGTTTCTTGCATCCCTTGATATGGTTAAAGGCCATTTTACTAGTTTATGTGGCATATTGCTGCTCATTAATGTCTTGAATATTTCATGATGCCGATAAGCTTCCCTGCTGTGTTATTTGGAGTATAATATTTTTCAGAAAAATCTTAGGGCAACAAGAGCAAGATCTCTGAAACTTACATTGAGATTTGAGTGTTTCTTGTCTTTTCGTGTTTAGAACTTTTGATTGAATCCAAGTGATTAGGCTCTAACCCCATAGTCTACTACCTTGCGTATTAAACCAAACACAAGAAGGGGGAAAATCCCACAGCTATTTCTCATCACCTGCCTTTTTATGTCCTTGTGTTTGCAAGTTAGAAGAAACCAGGGAGCCAACAGTCTCTAACTCTCCCCCTCAATGGCTCTTCTCATATCGAAATCCTTATTTTCTTTTACCAGGAGGAACCGTTGAGGTGGTGACATCGTTAAAGAATGTTGGCTCTCAGTCTATCAGCATCATCAGCTCAACTATGGACCCTGATGGCTATATATGCTGGAACCAGGTGGCTTTTTCATCTAGTTCAGCTCAACATTTTCATAGTGGAGCTGCTAGCTAAATGCATGCAGCTCTCATTATCTCTATATCCTGAACTTGTCCTAATGGTAAAACCAAACGCATTTGCTCCAACACTCATAATTTTCTCAGTTGCAACAAATACTGATTGATCACAGAGTTCATGCTGAAAAGCTTCAAGTCATTAACAATGGCTTATCTAACAAATTCAATAAAGAAAGCTGGTTATCTTTTTGTGCTAAGCTAGCCGGTTATGAAGAGCATGAGACAAACATAATTTTAACTTATTAAATTAGAAAATGCGAAATACAAAACGTCCATCGATTCGATTAAATTTATAAAAAAAAAAACTTATTTTTTAAACATGATAATTGTTAAATTACAATAAATAAATCAAGCTGAAAAAACTTGATTAAAAATTGGATTCACTTTATTACTGATTCCATAAATCCCATAATTCTAGCGATAGTTTATAATTTGATGGTATGAGAAAAACTTGGATGAAGTTTTTTTAGGTGAATTTTGTGAAATTTTTAATTAAAAATGATTAAATAAAAATCGACAGATCCAAAAATTTAATTACATAAATTAAATATGTAGATTTTAAAAAATTTTAATAAATTTTAATAAATATTTTTCGGTAAATAATTTTAATAAAAATATTAACATAATTTTTATTATTAAATAAATATCAATCAAATTTAAATTGTAAACAAAATTTTTAATAATTTTTTATATATTATTGATTTTTATATTAAATTTTATCAATTTATCTGTTTGAATTTTTTATTAAATTATTTAAAAAAAAAACTTTACAAATTTTATTTAAAAATTTTTATGTAAGTTTTCTCTTTATTGTATTTGCATGGAAAAGAAGAAAAAAAATAATAGGAAGGGAAAAAGCAAAAGGAAAAGAATCTGTTAACGGGCTATATTGGGTCCAATTAACATCCACAAAATGGGCCTTGACCCGAACCGTTTCACCTTTAGACTGGGTCGAGTCCGGAATCGAAGTAGAAATTGGGTACATAACAATACCGTACATAGGCGACGTGATGATTTGCCTACGTGGCAATACATGGTTGGTTGGTTTCACGTGGCATGTAAGATAATTGGGCGAAACAAGTCGACGCCAGTGTCACGAAGATCTATAAAATTCCACGACACAGTTGAAGCTTCGGTTTTTGATTTAGATTCAGATCGAAAAAAAAAAAGCAAAAAATCGAATCATCATCAGAGCTAGGGTTCTTGGATTGATGATGATGGGGCGTTTCGCGCTTCTTCTCCTCTTAGCGTTCGCGTCGCTGCAGCTCCTCTGCTCCGCCGCCGATGATGATGCGGTAATTCATTCATTCATTCACCTCGTATTGCTATGAATATTTGAATCTGTGAAAAACAAAATGAGATTTTTGTTTGTTTGGGTTTATTTTAGGTTTTTTATGATTCATTTGAAGAGTCATTCGATGGGCGATGGATCGTCTCTGATAAAGATGATTACAAAGGTGAGATCTTTTTTTTTTTTTTTTTTTACTTTCCATTTATGGATCTCTTCAGTGGAATAATTTTCATCTTTTTTTACTAGTAAAGATGCTATCTTGAATAAATAATATGAATATTAAAGCCTGAGTTGACCTTTGCACTTGAAGTAGAATTAGTGAGAAATTAAAGAAGCAAAATATGCATAGAAGTAAGCTTAAAAGATGAATCCTTGGGGAAGTGGAAATGGTGATAAGATACTTTAATGATGTTTATAATCCATCATGTCTTGGATCCTGACTTGATGTGAGACATTCAAGCTCATTGCTTTGGTTACACTATGATGCATTAGAAATTTGATGATCTTGTTTTGCTCCCATCATTGGAAATTAGTCTCTTGATGCAATCTTGAGAATTATTTTATCAATCTTCTGATGTTGAATTCTCTGCCCTGGAATTTTGTGTTTCATGTACCTCATTGTGCACTTGCATCAACAATAACTTCAAATTTGAGATTCTGAAGTTTGAGGTAGTCTTGACAGTTTTAAAAGTATCCTCTGTGATACTGATATGCTATTTTAGAAAAAAAAAAGGTTTTGTATGAAATCCATTGGCTTGTTAGATGTTTGAGGGAGTTGAAGAATATTTATTGATGTGTGGTTTTGTGGTTGCAGGTGTATGGAAGCATTCAAAGAGCGAAGGACATGATGATTATGGGCTTCTTGTGAGTGAGAAGGCACGGAAGTATGCAATAGTGAATGAGCTTGATGAGCCTGTGAGTCTCAAGGATGGAACCACTGTGCTTCAGTTTGAGACTCGTCTCCAGAATGGACTCGAATGTGGTGGTGCATATCTGAAATACCTTCGTCCTCAAGAAGCTGGATGGAAGCCTAAGGAATTTGACAATGGATCCCCTTACTCTATCATGTTTGGACCTGACAAATGTGGGGCAACAAACAAGGTGCACTTCATCCTGAAGCATAAGAATCCTAAAAGTGGGGAATACGTTGAACACCATCTTAAATATCCACCCTCTGTCCCATCTGACAAGCTCACTCATGTGTACACTGCCATCTTGAAGCCTGACAATGAGGTTAGAATTCTCATTGATGGAGAGGAGAAGAAGAAGGGCAAATTCCTCTCAGCTGATGATTTTGAGCCCCCACTTATCCCTGCTAAGACAATTCCTGACCCAGATGATAAGAAACCTGAGGATTGGGATGAGAGAGCCAAAATTCCTGATCCAAGTGCTGTGAAGCCAGAGGATTGGGACGAGGATGCACCCTTGGAAATCGAAGATGAGGAGGCTGTGAAACCGGAAGGATGGTTAGACGATGAGCCTGAGGAGATAGATGATCCTGAGGCTACCAAGCCAGAAGATTGGGATGATGAAGAGGATGGTGAGTGGGAAGCCCCCAAAATTGAAAACCCAAAGTGTGAGACAGCCCCAGGTTGTGGTGAATGGAAGAGGCCAATGAAGAGGAATCCAGTTTACAAGGGAAAGTGGTCTCCCCCACTAATTGACAACCCCAATTACAAGGGTATTTGGAAGCCTCAGGAGATTCCAAACCCCAACTACTTTGAGCTTGACAAGCCTAACTTTGAGCCTATTGCTGCTATTGGTATTGAGATTTGGACAATGCAAGATGGTATATTGTTCGACAATATTTTGATAGCCAAAAACGAGAAGGTTGCTGAGTCATATCAGGAGACCACATGGAAGCCAAAGTTTGCGGTTGAGAAGGAAAAACAGAAGGTTGAGGATGAAGCTGCTGGTTCTGACGGGCTTGCAGGCTTCCAGGTAATTCTCTGGCAAGCTCACTTGTTATTGTTATTCAGTCTTTATCATATAACTTAAAGTGGTTAATACCTCTGCTGCAGAAGAAGGTTTTCGATGTCCTGTACAAGGTTGCTGATGTTCCTTTCTTAAGCAAATATAAGCTTCAAATTCTTGTAAGTTTTCTTAGTATGATCTTTCATATACAAATTAATAAATCATTGGTGGATTTCATCTGAAATTGAGTTTCTCTTATAGGATCTCATTGAGAAGGCTGAGACACAACCAAACCTCACCATTGGTGTCCTAGTCTCTATTGTGGTGATTATACTCACCGTTTTCTTCAAGCTCATATTCGGTGGGAAGAAGCAAGTAAGTATTTTGATCCCATCTTTTCTGGTAACTATGTTTGTGTTTCCGTTGTCCGCTGCTGTTTGTTTTAGTTTATTGGTTAACTCTGTGCCAGCCAAGAGAAGAGAAGAAAACAGATGCCACCGAGACATCAAATGATCAAGGAAGCAGTGGAGAAAAGGCTGAAGAGGAAGAGGAAGAGGAAGAGGAAGAGAAAGAAGAAACTGCAGCTGCTCCTCGCCGAAGAAGGCGTGACACTTAAAAAAAAGTCATAAAAAAGAGTGTGGCTGGTGATTATCAATACCACAATGGGCAAATTTTTTCCCTCTAGGTATTTTTCGTAGCTGAAACATACTTAGTACTTGGTGATTTTTTAGTTGTACTTTTGCATGAATGGAAGAGTGTAAATGAGACAGTTCTTTTCTGCCTCAAAGCAAAAGCCAATTAGACAGTTCGAGGATTTGAAGTTTATATTATATGATAAAGCATGGTTATCACTTTTAACTTCATGACTTCTGAAACCCCAACGGAGCTAATGACCTACATTCATCCTATACTTTTTCGAAAGGAATCGATTATTATTATTATTATTTATTATGGATAAGAGGATTAGAGATGAGAATATAAGTAGCAGATGTGTTATATATGGGAGAAATGGGTCGATTATTACAGGTAAAGGGTACAATAGAAATCTGATTTTGTTATATTAACGATACAAATTGATAAAAATGAATCCTACTTAAGTTCACTATTTTCGATGGATATTTTTTATCCTTTAATTTGGTGTTTATTTTTATGAAATAGTTTGATATTGGAAGAAATTGTATAAAATTTATTCACAAAAAAGAAATAATAAAAATGAATTGTCCATTTTTTAATAGACAGATGAACTACTTCCCTAATCAATATTCATCGAAATATATCCATAATCATTTCGCCCCAAAATATTACAATTTCGTTTGGAACAGATAAGCTTCAAACCATTGAAAAGTGGTTCATGATCACATTCTCAAATTTCAGAACAAAAAATGATAGTTTTTTATTTCAATGAAATTTGCTTGTCAATAAGTTTTACTAGGTTTCTACTCGATTGAGTAGAAAATATTTTTTTTTAAGTGAAAAAAAAATTCACTTTTGTCAAACCTGTTTTACCAAAAAGATATAGATACATTGCCTCCATTGTAATTCAATCTCTGAGCATATAAATACTCGAGCTGGTCACTCTTAACAAAAATGAAAATATAAAAAAAAAAAAGGGAAATTTTGAGTATTTCGCAATTAAGGGATTGTTTTACAAGAATCATAGGATAAGTAAAATAAAAATTCAGCATTGTAGCATTGCAACTTAATGCTATTGTCACGGAACTAAGGAGGAGTTTTGAATCTCATATCGAATATAATAAGAGGGTTATTGGGGTATAAAAGGGTTTATACCATCTCTTTCTTGTGAGACGCCTTTTGTAAGATAAAATCGTGAGCCCAGAGGGATCAGAACGGATAATACTTCACAAGGGTGTGAACCGTGACAGGTAGGTTGATCCAGGACGCCGAAAGTTTGAATGTCCGGATCCCGGAGTCGCGCGGGTTCGAAGCTTAAATCTCGACCCATGACAAGTGATATCAGAGCCAACCCTATACCGTTCGATTCACGTCGAGCACCTCGAGAGAGGTAGGGAGAGTGACTAGCCTCCGCGAGGTAAGTAGAGTGATTAGCCTCCGTGACCTAAGGAGGAGTCCTGAATCCCATATCGAACATAATAGGAGAGTCACTGGGGTATAAAAGGGTTTATATCATCTCTTCTTTGTGAGGCGCCTTTTGTAGGATAAAACTGTAAGGCCATGAGAGCCAGAACAGACAATATCTTATAAGGGTGTTAACCGTGACAGATAAATTAATCTGAAACACCGAAAAAGTGAATGTCTGGATCCCGAAATCACACGGGTTCGGAGCTTGAATCTCGACCCGTGATACTATGGTCCGACTAACCCGCAAGGAGAGTTATAACGATGACAGTTGACTTTTCAGTCCGAGATATCCCTTTCCTCTATGACAGCCGTAAACGGCAGTGAGCTCCTTAATGTTTGCTCACTCAAAAACTGGGCAGCCTCGTCACCATATTCATCATTGAGGGTTGGAAATTTAAGAAATGCGAGACTGCATAACTGAGCAAGCCCAGGAGACGCTGAAACTGAAGGATCAAGAGGCCGTAATTGATTGTATGGAACCTCCTCTCTGATCAAGACGCTGATACTTAAAGATGCAAGCTGTTGCTGAATAGATAATAGTCCCCGATCTCCCACCGTCTGGACATAAAATTTTCCACCACCCAACACTCCTGTAACAACAAGCTGAAAATAACCAAGTAATTCACCATTTCATGACAGAGTCAGATAGCATTATTTGGTTGGGTTCCTAGAGCACCTGTAACAGTTCTTTTGGTTTGTTTTCGACAGTGGTTGGTCCATTAGAAACTTCCTCTCCTTCAACATAGTTCTCCCAAATCTACATATAAAAATTTCAAGATAACTATAGCCAAAAAATTTCAATAGCATTACCAAAAGAATAATGGTGAAAAAAGATATGTCCTGCTTCTTACTTTTAGTTGCTGCCTCTTGGCATATTCTTCAGCCTGTTCATGAAGATGAGCACCAGGAATCCTATCACCACCAAATGAAGTTTGTAGCTTCGCCAGGCCAGCCTCAAAGAGTGGCACAGCCATATTGGATCTTGACTCCCACAAAGACCCCAAAAAAGTTCCGGTTCTATCGACAGTTTCCACTTCAATCTATGTAGAAAAACATACATATGGAAAAAAGAAAAAGAAAAAAAACAAGGCAGAGGAGCAGTTTGATTATAAAGCCGTATACCTCCAAATCTCTCCGCATGATCTTTCGTCTCAACAGTGCTATGGCTTCATCTGAAAAGGCCTTATCACTAACAGGACATCTGACACCGGAAAATGAAAAGGCAATGCTACAAGTTTCCTTTGGGATCAACAACTTAAAACGATGACCACTTAGGACATATTCCACAACGGCTGGAATCCTCCTGCTCCAGTGCAGGAATGGCAAGAAATCTCTAGCTTTCTTGGCTGATACCTGGAAGTAAACAAGACATGAAAAATAGAATTCGGATAAGAAAGAGAAATATACCAGCAGGAAACTAATTAACATAAAAGGAAACATTGCTAACCTCTGTGAGGTCCTGTATGCGCATGACTGGAGGATCCTTGTCAGAATGAATTCCTTTCTTCCCAGAAATAGCATGCGATTCAGCAGCCAAAAGGGCATCATAATAGTTTGATCTTTCCTCAAAATCTCTAGCTGCTGGCTATCTGCTGTGGATGGGGCTGCTGGAGAAGCATCGTCGCCATTTCCCTTAACAGGGGACATGAGGAAGACTGAGCCAAAATCCATTACCCTTGAATCTGCAGACGCACCAGTAGTAGCAGCTACATCTGCTATGGTGACATTCCTGGAATATTCCGTTTGTGCATTTACCTGACAAAGCATGTTGACAAATTATAATAAAGGTCCCCCACACTACCAAAAAAAGATTTAAAAGAAAAGATATTCAAATCTGTCTTCCAATAAGGCGTGTTCTTAAAGACTCCCTTGCTTCCCGGCCATAAGCAGCTGGCTTTTCATCTCTACGAGGATTGCCTATTTTTGGACATCTAATGCCTGAAAGATTGACTCGGTGCTCTGCAAGAGGACTGCCATATGGGACAGAATCGTCAGCCACAACAATGCATTCCCCACTAACAACCTCCACAACCTGAGAAAAATCATACTACTGTAAATAATTACAAAACCAAGAACCTGCCAATACAAATGACATGAGAAATTAATTAAAATAATACTGTTGCTATTACCTTTCCTGTGAAGTTTTGATCAAGAATTGCCTTTGAGTTTGCAGCTGGCGGTACATAGTTTGTCCAGATCCTCCGCCGAGTCTTCTTGGCTTGAAGCTCTGCAGCCTTCAACCGCCGCTTGGCATCATCTTCCATCATATTAGCACTCCATTCAACATATTTTGCTAGACCTTTTATTTTGAGAAGCAATGGTTAGGTTGAGAGAGAATGGTGGGAGAGTGTGAAAGAATTCAGAATATATCAACACAAATTCAAGGCATCACATAATGTAGCATCTAAATTTGACAATTCGTATCATCATATAATGTAAAATATTATATTTATATTGTATATTACATGAAAATTTTGTATCATAATTTATATTAACATGAAAACAAAAAATATAATTTTTTATTTTATTGAATTTATTTATGATTTTTTTTAAATTTTAAGTCGTGATATCTTCGTATCTTTTATTTATATCATTTTTGTATCGTATTATAATATCGCATTTCAAATTGTTAAGTATATAAAAACCAATTATAAATGCGTAAACCTTTAAAAAAAAAAAAAGTTATAGGTACTAATGGCACAAAACTTCAAACTATCAAGTGTGCATAGTGGCTAAGAAAGAGAATGTAAGCTAGAGATCTAAACTAGAGTATAAAGCAGCTAACAATTTGCTTAAGAGAATGGAAATTACAAATTAAAGATCTACAATAAAGGGAGGAAATGCTTCTTTTACCAACAAAACATGAGAAACAAAATGAGGCAAAAGAGAAGAAAATCATCAAGTTTCTTACACAAACACAACTAAGATACAGCTCCAACACCATTTGCAAGCATTAGAAATTATTTGTGTCGAGCTTTGACTTAAAGATATTCCTGAAATTACAAAAAATAAGAATAGTGGAGGCAAAGGTAAAAAATATTTTCTGCGTTTATATTTTAATATGCAAGTCAAATAAGAAGTTGGAATAAGAGAAAGATACGGAATTAAGACTACAAAAAACTTCTTTTAATAATGTTTGAATGTATGTATTTATAAAAGAAAAATAGGGACCAGCGGAAGATAATAATGATACGACCAAGTTAATATGACATTAATAGTGTCAGCCTAACCGAACATATCAAATCAACGTAATTATCTGAAATACCTCTAATTATGTGTTAGGAATTTTTAATGAGAGAAATGATCAATATATCTTTTTAATCATTAAATACCCTCAACATAAATATTTTATGGAGGTTTTCTTTAAAAAATTAAGGTGATTTTTTAAAGATAGTTCTAGGGTAGAAAATTCTCTTGGAAGGAAAATTTGTCATATTATTACCAAGAAACTAATGTTTTTGAGGGTATACAAAAATTTTACCAGAAAAAACAGAACAAAAAACTTAAGTTGAACACTTCAAACTATAATTCAGTAAGAGTTCAGTGTTTACATCATTGATTAAAAATATGTTAGGCAAGGAACAAAACAAAATCCAAGAACATACATTTTCCACAAGCTCCAATTGCTGAATTTGTCTACACCTTCAAGGACAATACGTACCTACAAAATCAACCTTGAATTTAGACTTTCTATACAAAATGCATGCACACCATTCAACTTAAAGTATTCATTCACTCACTTCTCTATTCAAACAGCGAATCTCTGTAAAATATTTAGCTTTTGCTCCAAATGGATCAGGTGAAACTTCAGCAGAAGCTGCCGATGAGGCAGTAGGCCTCTGTGCAGATGTTAAGGAAGCCCGTGGCTCAGCGGAAGCATCCCCATTTTGTTCATCAGAGGTCAAATCAGTTTCAACAACAGTTCCTGCAGCAGCGCTCCTACCCATTGAAGGGGCCTAAATAAACAGGAAATATTATAGATGTTTTAAAAGACAAACTCATATGGTGAATGAAAATAAACAAAAAAGAAAGTCGTGAATTAGAACTTGTGCCTGGATACCAGCAACAAACACTTGCACAAACTGAAAATCTGGAAGCAAATGGACTCGAACAGTTCTACCATCACGAACCTGCTCAACAATAGCTTGCATTGGACGACCCTTATTTGCAGCTAGAAGACCCATGGCATCCAAATTACTAGGTCACCAATGGCAGATGGAGGTAAATTAATCAGCAAGAAAATGTCAAGCAAACATGAAAAGCACTTAAACTTAACAGGGACCTAAGCCAAATGTAAAAGTACATTCAAATGAGCCTTACCAGTTTAGGAGCAATAAGAGGTGCCAAGGTAATGGTTTTCTTAGGTGGAAGGCCAGCCCTGTTACTGGACATGGCCGTTACCACCAAGCAATCCCCAGATGGAACTGCTTTGACTCTCCCTTTGTACCATCCCGTGGCCTCAGCTGTTGATGCCGCCATTGTCAACAGCTAAGATCTACATAAAAATTTACCAAACACTCCACTTTCAACATCAGTATTTCCATCAACAACAAAAAATATTAGCAACATTCTAAATAACAGGATTAAAAAAAAAAATTCAGATATGTAACGTCGCATTAATCGCAACTTCTAAAAGACCAAAAATTCATTACTTAATCTTATAAAACGCTACATGTGTTGAGAATATTAACTCAAATACCATAAGAGATTTTTTTGAGAATTGTTAGAGATTTGTCAGATATTCATTGATGGACAAGAAGACTTGCATAGATTAAAGAAAAAGAGAGAATCTCTAGATAGGAAGTTTGACTTGCAAGGAAGTATATTCTAAAAAGACATTCTAATAGGAGTTTGATCTTAACCAAGAAAGAAGAATCTGAGAAGATACAAGATTCTAATGGGAGATGTGAAGAAAACTGAAACCCTATTGGATATATCGAAAAATGAATATCGAAAGATTTAAGGCTTGGCTTATTATTATTTTTCTCTATTATTTTAGAGAAAATAATAAATTTTGTTCGATATAATGACAAAATTAAATTACAATATAAAGTTTAAGATGAAATCATAGTGCACTGACAAATTTTATCTTAATCTTACAAACAAATTGTCTTAATCCATAAAAAAAAAATGTAAAATTATCACTTAATTTGAATATGAAAAATTCTTATCCGCTGACAAAAGAATAATATAATCCATTTTTTTTCTTGAGATTTTTCCTTTTTGTCTTGTGATCATTAATCATCAATTATCAAACATTCACATGGACAAAACAAGAAAGTACTGATAAACATCATTTGAAGAAAAACTTAAATAAAAAGTTTGTATTGCAATTTATATATCTGAGAAAATAAATAGAAATTATTCATGTACTTTTGAAGATTTTTCACATCTCTTAAAGTTTCAATATAATCAAGTTCACTGTTGGAGATGGCTTGAGAATTTAATCACTAAAGCTCAGCATGATGTGAACTGTAGGCGGATTCGGGATTTGTGTCATTTGGTCCAAGATCATCGATTGGAGGGCGCTGCTTATGGTGATCTGTGACAGACTGGTAAGCCATTGCTAAAGCCAATGCCTGCGTTGAAAGACACAAAACAGTTCAGTTTAAGATTTCTGATGACAGCAATTGCATTCTATCATCTACCAGACATGACAAAATGGTGGATATAGGCCATGGAATGGGGAGCTTACAATGTGATCATGGTCAGGAGGAGCAAAAATGCCAGTGCTGACTGTGGTTTTTCTTAGAGTAGCATTCGAGGGTGGATTAGATGTGTTCTTGAACCCAGTTGGAACAATAATTACAGGCAAACCTACAAGATTTCCCATGCAAACTCGCTCCCAATCTGTTGCATTTCCAATGAATGCATCAACAGTAAAACTTTCTTTCACCTCCCGGATTAACTTTCCCCTAGCTCTTTGTGCCTGTGGACATGCTTACAAATAGTGAATATATAGAAACAACACCATGAGAAATGGTGACTTCCTTATATTACTTGCCTAGGGAGTTCTTATCCATCTTTGTTCTAAATCTCCATGTTTTGAAGCTCAAAATTGAAAATAAAAGAAGTCTGTGTCTTCCAATAGCTCATAAGAACATGTGTTCAAAAGCTATATGGATTCATCCAACTATAATATCATTCAATAATCAGAGAGCAAATCACTGACCTGCACATAGTCTACAGCTGGAACTACACGTGCACGACGTAACTCAAGAGGCCATTGATTTTGAGCTTCATAATCATCATCTTCCCCAGAGCGTTGCCATTCATCAAAATGGGCTAACATGTCAACATCCATCGTGAAATTTAGGATACCTTGAACAGAGTCTACCGTGTAATTTAGTTTGAAAGGAACCACCTTAACACCTTTTGATTCAAGCACATGAACAACCTGGTTTTAGAATAATCAAACCTTAAGATTTACATTATATTATTATATTAAGGTTCTCTCTAAGCAAAAATATAATATTGCAGTTCAATCAATTAAAAGAAAACGATGAATTCATAGTAATCATGACTTATGTAACTATAGATTTAGTCACAAGTTTGTGAAATAACACCTCCTTGTCAGCATCTTCATGGTAACCAACTGTAAGCTTTGTGATGTCAACTGAGAATGGGTCATCAAAGAGAATGTCTCTTGATGAATAATCATCTGGATCTTTCCCTCTGATAGAATCCAGAATAACCGCACAATCCATAGCATTTCTACAGAATGGACCAAGCTTATCCTGTTAAACAGAGAACATAGAAAATTATTGAAATGTTACCCCCAGAGCAGAAAGTGGTGGCTGGAAACTATTTTTAACTCAAAGGAGATATCTTCTATGCAGTGATATTACCAAGCTTTCTGATATGCTCATTACACCAGTTCGCCCAACCGTGCCAAAAGTTGGCCGCAATGCTGTCACACCACACCGAGCAGCAGGGTAAGTAATGGAGCCAGCTGTTTCTGAACCAATTGCAAATGGAACCATACCTGTAACGTTAATTTAATTTCTTAGATGAAGCAATGTATATCTGGTTTAGGTAGTGATTTTCATTTAAGATCAACATCTTCGGTTGTTTTGATTGTGGGAGAGATTGTTAGATGCACAAGTGCTATAGCCTATTTCTATGACATCATCTCATGGTTACTACAATTTTGTCTAAGATGTTTAATAAATGGAACTGAAAATCAAGAATACCAGCAGAGGTGCAGGCAGCAGACCCAGCTGATGAGCCTGAAGAGAATTCCTCAATGCTCCATGGGTTCCTAGTCCTACCGCCAAACCAGATGTCATTAAAGGCCAGTGATCCAGTAACAAGCTTTGCAACAAGAACTGCCCCTGCAGATTTTAACCTGCATTGGGAATTGATTAGAGAAATAAGATAATCTGACTAAAAAAACTTTCTCAACATAGTTCATAATAATTTGGATGATTTTTAATACCTCTTATATACCCCGGCTTCAATATTAAGCACTTGATTTTTGAAACTTGTTGAACCCCAAGTTGTCTTGTAATGAGGGACTGAGATTATATCCTTCAACCCGTAAGGGACGCCATGGAGAGGCCCTAAAACAACAACCAATTTTTAACTCCTGAACCAAGTGGCAATTTGACAATGGGCCAATACATAAAGAGCTAATTTCTTGACTTCGTTAACAGGTACCTAAATAGACTCCTTTGGAGAGCAACTCGTCAGCTTCTTTTGCTTGCTTGTAGGCTAAATCTTCAGTATAAGTAACCACAGCTTCAAGTACTGGATTGTACCTGGTCTTTTAGCAGCAAAGAATCAATGTTTGTTGGACAAAAAGAGCATAGACAGCACAAATGCATAAACACCACCAGATAATTTTTATTTCTACCTCTTTAATCGCTTCAGAAAAATTGTTGTAAGCTCTTCAGAAGTAATCTGTTTTGTCTTAATGAGTTCTCCTAGTTCAGTAACCTGATAAAGACCAGGAAAGTTCACATGCAAAATTAGATCATAGCGAATGATTCAATTTTATCGAAGCAAAAACTGACTCACACTCAAAAAGGCAATATCTTCTTCATTCATTGGCCTCTGAATGCCCAGATTCGAAGGATGATTAAACCTGCTGGCCTTGCCTTGTGATTGCTCCTTGATCCACTGTGGGTTAAAAACCAAAGGAGAAGGATCAAGCAACCCTCCATTAACTGAAGCAACTAACTTCCTGTTGGCTCTTATTATGGGAATATTGAACTCTTTTGCAGCCTTTGCAGTCTCCAGCACCTAAGAGAAATTAAATTAAAGACAATAACCATAGCCATTTGGAGAAGGCTTGTCCAAAATAAAACCATAGTGCTAAATTCATCACCTTGGTATCATTAAAGAAATCGGCATCCAATAATGTCAATGCACATCTGATTTGTGATGCTTCAACAGCCTTATTTGAACATTCACTGTCATTTTTACAGTCCTGACCAAAGCACAAGAGAAATGTCCACAAAATTTAGTATCAAAGCACGCTAGATCATGCATAATAGCATATCTACTGTGTTAGAAGATGTGTTTAGGACTGCTAATGTGGATTCATTGAATGTTTCATGTTGTTCCTGTTTTTCTGATGTTGGTTATTTTTTTTTGTTATTCATGCTGGTGGTCATGGCTTAATCTTAGGATTATGATTTTAGTGGATAGTTATTAATTAGGCTTTAAATTGTAATGTTTCTGATGTTAAGTTATGCAACAGTGAGTAAAGTTTTCTTTGCTTCAAAAATAAACAACATTTAGTATCAGAGCTTTCTTCTTAAGGGATCTGTGTGTGAAATTGACGCGTCATGGAAGCTGAAGCCAATTTCTCTGCAATTGCTCCGGCGGTGTTCGACGGAGACAACTACCAGATTTGGGCAGTACGTATGGAGACATACTTGGAAGCTTTAGATCTTTGGGAAGCAGTGGAAGAAGACTATGAAATTCTTGCACTTCCAAACAATCCCACCATGGCACAGATTAAAGCACAGAAAGAAAAGAAGACAAAGAAATCAAAGGCAAAGGCCTGCTTGTTTGCTGCAGTCTCATCCATCATCTTCACTCGTATCATGTCTCTGAAGTCAGCAAAATGAATATGGGATTATCTCAAGAATGAATATGAAGGAGATGAAAGAATTAAAGGAATGCAAATCCTTAACTTGATTAGGGAATTTGAACTTCAAAGAATGAAAGACTTCGAGACGATTAAAGATTACTCTGATAAGCTTCTGAGTATCGCAAACAAAGTAAGGCTTCTTGGATCTGAATTTACTGACTCAAGAATTGTAGAAAAATTCTTGTTACAGTACCTGAAAGATATGAAGCAACCATCACTGCCTTGAGAATACAAAGGATCTGTCAAAAATTTCCTTAACAGAATTGCTTAACGCTTTGCAAGCACAAGAACAAAGAAGATTGATGAGGGAAGATACAACAATTGAAGGAGCTTTGGCAGTCAAGCATAAAAATGTGGCCAAAAGCAAAAGAAAAAAGATTTTGAAGGAAATGGGGCAAGTACTGCATCAGCCAATGCAAAAGGAAAGAATGAAAATCAGAAGAAATCCTATTCACCTTGCCAACATTGTGGAAAGAAAGGTCATCCTCCATTTAGATGCTGGAGAAGACCTGATGCTAAATGCATTAAATGTAATCAGATGGGACATGAAGTTGTTATCTGTAAAAACAAAATTCTGCAACATGGTGAAGATGCAAAGATTACCGATCAAGAGGAGGAAGATCACCTGTTCGTAGCTACATGTTTCTCCGACATCGAATCAAGTGAGAGTTGGCTTATAGATAGTGGTTGTACTAACCACATGACACATGACAAGGATCTATTCAGGGAACTAAGCAATGCAAACTCATCGAAAGTTCAAGTTGGTAATGGCAAGTACATAACTGTGAAGGGAAAAGAACAATTGCAATTTCAACTTGTTCAGGTACAAAGTTCATTTCTGATGTATTATATGTCCCTGAAATTGATCAAAACTTGTTAAGTGTTGGACAACTAATTGAAAAGGGTTATAAAGTTGTGTTCGAAGATAAAAGTTGCTTGATTAAAGATGCAGTTGGCCAAGATATTTTCAAAGTAAAAATGAAAGGGAAAAGCTTTGCTCTAAATCTATTGGAGGAGAAGCAAACTGCTTTCCCAATCAAAAAAAATATCACTGAAGTATGGCACAAGAGGCTCGGGCACTATCATCAAGGGCTGCTACAGATAAAATCTAAGAAGATGGTAAATGATTTTTCAGAACTTGATGATCATATTCCAAACTGCAAAGTATGTCAGTTTGGAAAGCAAAGTAGGAAACCATTTCCCAAGGCAACATGAAGAGCATCAAACAAGTTACAATTAATTCATACTGACATTGCAGGCCCACAAAGAACGCCTTCTCTGAAAGGTAGTCTTTATTATGTTGTATTCATTGATGATTTCATCCATATATGTTGGATCTTCTTTTTAAAGTACAAGTCAAAGGTGGCTCAAGTCTTCTGAAACTTTAAAGCCAGAGTTGAGAATGAGAGTGGCTGTAGAATTCAAACTCTTAGATCAGACAATGGTAAAGAGTACACCTCTGAAGCATTCACTCATTTTTGTGAAGAGGTAGGCATCCAACATCAATTAACCGCTCCATACACTCCACAACAAAATGGAGTAAGTGAGAGACAGAATAGATTCATATTGGAGATGACACGATGTATGCTACATGAGAAGAACCTGTCAAAGCAATTTTGGGCTGAAGCAGCAAATACTACTATTTTTTTGCAAAACAGGCTTCCCACAAAAGCAGTGAAGGATCAAACACCCTTTCAGGCATGGTATGGTTATAAACCATCTCTGAATTTCCTTAAAATATTTGGATGTTTGTGCTTCACTTATGTTCCACAGACCAAGAAAGATGAATTAGATAAAAGAGCACTTTCAGGCATCTTCATTAGCTACAGCTCAGTTGCAAGAGCTTATAAAGTTTTTCAGCCACAAACTAGAAAAATTATTATAAGCAGGGATGTGCACTTTTATGAAAAATGAAGAGTGGAACTGGGATGATGCAAAAAAGATGGATCCAACCTTAAAAGAGCACAAGCTCAAGTTTCCTTGCATTGGAGACTGGGAGAATGAAATGGTGGATGACAGTCCTATCAGAGGTACAAGACTATTTTTTGATGTTTATCAAAGATGCAATATTACTGTGTGTAAACCTACAAATTATGAAGAGGCCAAGACGGATCAAAATTGGATTGTTGCAATGAAGGAGGAGCTATTCATGATTGAAAGGAATGAAACATGGGAGTTGGTTGATCGACCCCAAAACAAAAAAGTAATTGGAGTCAAATGGGTGTACAGAACCAAGCTTAATGCTGATGGCTCAATCAACAAGTATAAAGCTAGACTCGTGGTCAAAGGATATGCTCAAATACTCGATGTGGACTACTCAGATACCTTCGCACCAGTCGCTAGACTCGACACTATCAGGCTCTTACTCGCCGTTGCAGCACAAAAGAATTGGAAAGTGCACCAATTAGATGTCAAGTCAGCATTCTTGAATGGTTTTCTGCAGGAGGAGATTTATGTAGAACAACCAGAAGGCTATGTCAAGGAAAGAGAAGAAGACAAAGTTTATCTTCTTAAAAAGGTACTTTACGGATTGAAGCAAGCTCCAAGAGCTTGGTACAGCAGGATTGATGAACATTTACAGAACTTGGGATTTATCAAAAGCTTATCTGAATCAACATTATATGTCAAGCACAATGGAGCTGACATTCTTATCATCTCACTATATGTGGATGACTTACTTGTGACAGGAAACAACATAAGTATTGTGGAAAAGTTTAAGCAAGAAATGATGGAGTTTTTTGAAATGACAGATCTTGGATTAATGACCTTTTTTCTTGGAATGGAAATCAAACAGAATGAACATGAAGTCTTCATTTGTCAAAAGAAATATGCCAAGGAGATTCTGAAGAAGTTTAAACTCGAAGAATGTAAAGAAATGAGGACACCAATGAACTCAAAGGAAAAGCTCTGTAAAGAAGATAGAACAGAAAAGATTGATCAGGTATATTTCAGAAGCCTGATTGGTTGCTTAATGTTTTTCACAGCAACTCGGCCTGACATTTTGAATGTTGTAAGCATTTTGTCTCGGTTTATGCATTGTGCAAGTGAATGGCATCTCAAGGCTACAAAGAGGGTGCTTAGATATGTGAAAGGCACAAGTGATTTTGGCATTAAATACACAAAGAGCAAAGAGTTCAAGCTGGTTGGTTTCTCAGACAGTGATTGGGGAGGTTCCATTGATGATATGAAGAGCACTTCAAGCTATTGTTTCACACTTGGTTCTGGTGTTTTCTCATGGAGCTCGAAAAAACAAGAAATTGTAGCTCAATCCACAGCTGAAGCAGAGTTTATTGCTGCAACAGCTGCTGTGAATCAAGCTTTGTGGCTAAGGAAGATTTTAATCGATCTTAACTTAGAGCAGGAGGAAAGCACGAAGATTCTTGTTGACAATCAAGCTGCCATTGCTATCTCTCAAAATCCTGTGTTTCACGGGAAAACTAAACATTTTAATATTAAATTATTCTTCTTAAGGGAAGTACAGAAAGATGGAGCTGTTGTTCTTGTCTACTGCAAAACAGAAGATCAGGTTGCAGATGTTTTCACCAAGCCACTGCCAGTTAGCAAGTTTGAATTTCTGAGGACAAAACTTGGTGTTTGCAGCTCCTAAAGCAAGGAGGAGTGTTAGAAGATGTGTTTAGGACTGCTAATGTGGATTCATTGAATGTTTTATGTTGTTCCTATTTTTCTGGTGTTGGTTATTTTTTTTGTTATTCATGCTGGTGGTCATGGCTTAATCTTAGGATTATGATTTTAGTGGGTAGTTATTAATTAGGTTTTAAATTGTAATGTTTCTGATGTTAAGATATGCAATAGTGAGTAAAGTTTTCTTTGCTTCAAAAATAACAACATACTGCAACCAAAGTTCTGTATGAGCCTATAAATCGGATCCTTTTTTATATGATCATAAATTTCATCACGTGACCTCTCTTCTACTAGTTGTTAGTCAATACTCCACTAGATTACGGCAAAAGAAATACGACCAGACAGAGAGATTTTACCATTGTTTGGAAGTGCTAGCTAGAAGACGATGTGAGTCTGGTAAAACAGGCGAGTTGTTGTTGGTAAAATCTTTCAAGGTTGGAACTCTGACAGGAAAGCGGAACAAACGACCAGGGAAGAAAGGAGTAGCAGAACGAGGTAAGACATGAAACGTGTCAACCTAGATGACATGTTCGGATACATGTTAAGAACCAAGTTGCCATATTATCAGAGATTGTTGGTCTTGGTCCCTCCATCACCGCCTTGCAATTCCATTCTTTTTTTTTTGGCCTTGATCATCGCTTAAGTTAAGCTTGGAAGTAGCAGCAGTGTCATGGCGTTTTTGGAAGAATTCTTTTCTGAGGAATAATTAAAGAAGTCAACTACATGTTTCTCGAACGCCACTGGCCATTATTTTCTTTCATTTTTTTTTCTCTTGAAAGAAACCAACTACCATTCGTCTGCTCTTTTTGGAAGAATCTGGCAACAAAGAACAAATTGCTTGCTGACTTTAAGGTACTTTTGGAGTGCGACACGGTTGGCTCAGTTTCTTGCTCAATAAATGTGTGGCAGATATCCGTTTGATTGTCAATTATCATCTTACAAAAAGACTGAAGTTATTGGATTGTTATCACTTGAAAATCTAAATATATTATTATTTATGGAATGCTTGGTTAACATATAATAGCAATGGTTGATTGGAAGTTTATAATAGGTCTAAAGTTCCTGGGGATTGTACCCTGAGTTAGATGTTGGTTTTGTCTTGTATATATTGGAAGCTATAACTTGTCCTCTTGGGTTGTGGGATTTACTTGGAATAAGCTGACTAGACCATTCCTCTTTTGGTTGTTACATTTCATTTTTCTTCAATTCATCTGTAATCTTGTTTTCTGGTGAGATTATTACCCTAGTCGCTAACTCGCTATGATTATGAAGACTGTCAAAACAGTGGGAATAGGACAGAGAAGAGTATGATTTAAGCCACAGGATACACAGAATCAGTAAAGCCAGAATTAACGTATAGATATGGAGCTCCTAAAAATTGACAGCGCACCTTATTTAGATTGCTTCACTAAAATTTCACACTTGCCACAAATTATAATTTGACCCGTGTCATATTGCTTCTCCAAGTTGCACACAGAAGCCTAAGCCTATCTGTACTCTTTTCTTTTCCTGTAATGGCAAGAAATATTGCAGATTCAGTTAACATTTGAATGATGTTAAGACAAGTTGAAAATGTAGGGTCCACATTAGAATTTGCTGTTGCTATCATCAAAGATTGAAGGGAATATCAGCGAAGAACACAAGGGACATTCAGGCTCCAGCCATTGAGGTACTTTGAGATTATCTTTCTTTAAAGCAATGGACTTCTTCGAATGGAATCCATATGGAATCCAGAAGTGAACTCCAAGCCTGGAAAAATAAATTCTAGTCCTTGCAACCTCTAAATGTAACATATATAAACATGACAACAAGCAAGCTGACACCCATAGCTTCACAAGAGAAAACCAAGATGAATTCAAATCTTCTTTTCTTCATCATCTTCTGCACTTCCATCAGTATCTGCCTGGCAGATATTGGTAACCTCTATGATGCTTGTCCAACCAATATGACTGCAAAACAAACCGTGTTCATCAACGGTTTTCCTTGCAAGAATTTTTCCCGCATCATTGCTCCAGATTTCAAGACTTCAAAGCTAAACCATGCAGGAGATACAGACAACTTTCTTCGTTCCTCAGTAAACATAGTCACTGCTGCAGATTTCCCAGGCCTGAACACTCTTGGCCTATCAATAGCCAGAACTGACCTTGAAGTGGATGGTAGGGTAATGCCTCATTCCCACCCTAGAGCCTCTGAGTTATTTTTTCTTAGCAAAGGTGTTGTGCTTGCTGGTTTCATCGACACCAACAACACCCTTTTCCAATCATTCATCAAGGCAGGAGATGTCATCCTGTTTCCCCGCGGTCTGTTCCATTTTTGCGTGAATGCAGGTTTTGAGCCTGTTACTGCATTCTCGGTACTGAACAGCCAGAATCCAGGTGTGGTGAGCATTAGTGGTGCCATGTTAGAGACTAATTCAGAACTGATAGACAATATTACAAGGAGATTGATCTCAGTTCCCCCGTCTGAGCTTAAACGCATCAGCAATACCAGTCTGGCTAAATTTTCAAGAATTCACACTCAGTAAAGCCTTAGAACATTGTGTTGATACATAGTTTCCTGCATATAGCGCTTTATTGCCATTGGTATTAGCTTGAACATTGGTGTGCAACATGAGTGATAAAATACACTCTTTGATTTAAGGTCCATTTGAGAGGCCGATTGGAGGGCTCTCCCCGTATCAGAGGGTGCATTTTGTAGCCGAACCTCTTAAAGTGCTTAATTACTTCAATGGTTTGATATTTCAGTTTGTAGTCATACTTTTAAATATAAGATACAAAGAATGTTCTTGGATTGCCTTTGCATGTATAGTATAATATTAATTTTTGCTTGTATTTTGAGCCCCAATTAAACAAATGAAAAATAAACAAAGTATGATATTATCGTTTTTGTTTGTTGTGTTTTGATTACAGTAATTTTCTTTTTATTTTTAGATTATTAGTTGCTTATGGCCTTGGTGTCTAGTTTGATATTGCCATAATATCGTACATCGAGGCATGTTTATCGACAAAAACTCATCATGTTCATCGACAAAAACTCAAATGAAGTTATTCAGTTGAAATTTGTGAATTTTTTATTAAAAATAATTAAATAATAAATTAAAAAATTTTATTACATAAATCAAATGTGTAAATAAATAAAAAAAGGCCTGAAACTACAAGTCTATAATCCATTGTTCCATCCTAACTTGAAACTTTTTAAGTCAATGGTAGTTTAAGCCATGCTCAACTAAACATTATCAAAACAGGAAAATCTAAAAGAAATTAATGCTTAGGCTTCCATACTCCGCTATAAAAGTTAGAGGTGTGCATCAAATACATTATTGCTTACAACAGCAAGAAAGATTAATACTATCAGGAAAAGGATATTTGATGGCAAGCTCATGGGCCGGTGCTGGGACTCTTATAACATTGGTGGTGGTGGTGTTGGGTGTTTTCGAGGTTCCAATGAGTAGAGGAGACATGAGTCTTAGCGAGTGCAAGGAGGAACAAAGGCTTCTTGTCAATGGTTGGAGGGCACTGATATTTGGAGGCAATCCGGATATCTACACCCAATTTACAAGATATTGTTCGTTTGTCCACTTTAATTCGAAGGTCTCTCAATTTTATCCTACAAAAAAAGTTTTACAGATTTGAATTTAAACTTCTATATATTTATTATTACAGATCCTCAAAGCATTTCAACATGAGATCTTAATGTCTTCATCAAACCTAACACAAAATACACACGTCAATGAAAAAACATCAAATCACATGAAACATTGAGCAAACCCAACACAAAACACACATATCATAAATCGAATCACATGAAACATTAAGCAAATCCAACATAAAACACACAAATTATAAATTACATCAAATTTTAAAATTTTAGAAGTAACTCTCATTATTTTGCACTATTGTTTTAATACTTGTTTTATCGCACTGATGACTGTTATGAGATTAAATCTTATTTATTTATATATATATATATATATATCATAATAAATCTTCAAAATACATACGGGATTGAGACGTATCAAACCCTTCCCCTATTTGCTGCCAACGCGTTAGGGTCACCCATGTGGAGTGTGTGTGCCCTGTTATTACCCCTCAGGTTGCAGCCCTCATCGGAGTGGAACGCACCATTACGCAGATTGTAGGCTGTGGAAGGACTGTTCCTCACAACGTCACGTGTGGAAGTAAGGGCTCCTCTTCCTCTCTATCTCTTAAATCTCCATTTTCAGGTGCACTTATCAGATTTTCAGAATTATTAATTATTTGAATTTATTGCAGGTATTACTACTACTTGAAGTTCCAACATCGGATCTTAAGCTTTTGATCTCTTGGAACACAAATCTAATTCTACCATGATCTTTTATGTTGAAAAACAACAAGAAGAAATAAAATTATTATGATTAGGTATGATTGTACTCGTCTCTATTGCTGCCTTTCTTCAACGTCCTAACACGGAAAAGTTGCCAGTCTCTTATACAATATAGAGATTATACATAAAATATAAGAGTAATAAGGGTTTAGATTAAATTAAATTCGTTTTAATTTTTTTAAATAATATATAATATTATAAACTTTTAAAATTTTATCTTAAATCAAATCATTTTTTTTTAATCATTTCGATTCAAACTAAATTTTATTAATTCGATTGGTTTATTTGTTTTTAAATTTTAAATTTTTTATTTTTATATATTATTTTAATATATTTAAATAAATTTATATGTAAAATAATTATTTTATTGTATACAAATTTAAAATATATATAAATTAATAAAAATATATAATTCTATTCAATTTTTTTTTTCACATTTAAAATTAAAATTCGATTCAAATTTAATATATATATTTAATATTCAAATTTGATCTAAATTAAATCAAACATTATACTTTTAAATCAATTTTTATTTTTTTTTCCACCCCTAATAACATGTTGATTATGAAGGTATAAATGATGCTTGAGTATGAAAGAAAAACAATATTTAATTGGCAACTTGCACTTTGTAAACAATATTTTTAGCTCCAAACTCCTTTAGTATTCAACAAGAAATATAAAAAGAAACCATGACTAATAGTTACATGGAGGAATTAATTTAGACAGTGTGTAATGAAAACTTTGAGCTTTTGTCCAATGTTTTTTTGCTGTTGTAAAAGATTCAAACCCTTTCTGACAATGCTTATTAAAATGTTAGTAACATTTAAGATTCCAACCCCCTTTGACAATGTCCACAAAGAACCCTACATGTAAATTAACTGTAAGGCATTGAATCAAGAATTCACAAAGGATCCAACTTTCTCTTTCCCCTTTTCACAGGATATTCCATTACATATACAAAGAAGCATCCATAGTATTAATTTTGCATATGTACTATAAACAGTTCTTACTATTTAGGGTGCCACATGGCATTATTTAATAAATATTTTTCGAAAATTTTTATTTTTTAAAAATAGATCCCACTTTATATAATTTTTTTTTCTTTCATTTTGCTTTCTTTCAAGTTAAAACTTTTTATGGGATTAGTATGTCATGTGTTTATTTTATATATTTAATAAATACTTTTTAAGATTTTAAATTTTTTTATGTCTCATCAATTTGATATCAATGGTATGTTATATGTCAAAATAATTTTTTCATTTTTTAACAATTTTCTATTTACATTTTTCTTCCTTTTTTCCTTTTAAATATTTATAAATTTTTTAAAAATGTTTTAACTTTTTTTAATGTTAGACTTATTTTATATTATTGATTAAAATTTATTTTTATTTTTATTTTATTTAATAATTTTTTAAGAAAAATTATTAAAAAAAACTCATTATTACTAATTTCCCATTCAACTTAACTTCCTTTTTTTTTTTTTTTGCTTCATTATCTTTTCTTTTTAATTTTTGTTATTTTGTTATTTTTTAATTGGATTATTTTATTGAAAAAACTACGAATGTGTACACAAACTATTTTATTTTACTCTTATCACCGTTTCGATCATTTTTTATTTTTCCTTTTTTATATTTAATAAAATTTATAAAAAAAAGAGGTCAAGTTAGATATCTACGTGTCATTTTTTTTTTAATTAGATAAATTTTATAAAAAATATTTGATGAATAAAAATAACAAAAAATTTTTGACTGGTATTTTCCTAGTGGCAAATTAAAGAAACTGATGTGACAATATACAGGGTATCACAATATTAAAAGATAGGGAATAAAAATATATATAAGTTTGTTTTGAAAAGAGAGGTATTTAGTATGTTTGGATTATATCAAGGGGAAATTCTTCATCGAAAGACTGGGTCAATTAATATATACGAAATCTCTTTTTTTTTTAATTAAAAATAAAAAAATTAAGTATAAATGACGTATAAATACAAGGCTTTCTTATGACTTGAAGTCTTGAAATAACTTACAATTTTGAGTTTTGAAAAAGTAAAAAAAATAAATAAAATTACACTAGGATATTTCACTCAATAGTAAAGTATGCATTCTCTTAAAAGATGGATTCTCGCAAGATTGATGTTCAATCCCTTATGCTTATAATTTTTTTTAAATTTCTTTGTAATACTTGAAAAAAAAAAAAGATCTTTTTAAACATTTTTATAAGTGGAGGGATTCTTTAATAAATAATGAAAAATACATAAAATTTATTGATAAATAATCTAACTTTTAATAAGGTTAGCATCTACCACTTATTTGATCGACAATTGATCTAAAAAAAATGCTTATTTTTTTTCTTATATAAAACAAATAAGTGAAAGAATTTCAAATGAAGAATAAAAATAAAATCTACAAGAAGAGTTGTCTTTTAAAGTTTAGTATATAATTTCCTTCAATTTTGAAGAAATAAAGTTAATTATTAAGTCGTAAAAGTTAATTTGTAATCGAAAAATCTTAAAATTTTAAAAAATTCATTATCCATCTTCAAGATTAATTTGGACAAATTATTTAAACTTTAATTAGAGTCTAATAAAGTGTTAAAAAAGTTTAATAATATGATTTTATTATTGTAAAAATAGGAAATAAAAATTTGATAAGATTGGAAAGGAAAATTTGTATTTCATATAAACCTTGATGTGTGTAGTGGTGGATTAAAATAATATTCTACATTAAGAAATAAAAAATTGCCATGATTATTATATACTTTTGGAAAGTTTGCTGAATTTGCTTTCCAATGAAATAAACGAAAGTTAATTTCGAGTTTTTTATGAATAATATTTTAATTTATATTTATGAATATACAAGAAACCTAGTAGCAACAGTAGGGAGAAATTACAAAATTTCTTTTAGTTTGTATGCAAGGAATTACAAATTATACCATTTATGTTTGGAAAACTTATTGAATCTACTTTCCAACGAAATAAGCATAATTGAATTTGAAGTTTCCTATGAATAAATGTGTAATTTTTATTAAAAGATGTACATATTATCTAATAACAACATATGACGTGAATTGCAAAAATTATTATAATTAATCTATAGGAAATCACGAGATTGCCATATATAGTTAGAAAGCTTGTCAAGTCTAGTTTCTATCGCATTAAAAAAATATTAATTTTTGAGTTGGATATCTTAAGATATAGCTATTTTAGTAAAAAAAAAAAACTCAAGCTGTTAGTATTAATTAGTTGAGTTAATCCTTGCTTGACTTAATTTTTTTTGGTATAATTGATCTCAAAATGGGTTGATTAATTACGGTTATATTGAAATTACCTTGAATAGGCCGTTAATTATTTCAGGAGAAAAATAAAATGGTGGAATCGAAAAGAGGTAAGTGAAATCTCACACATTTTACTTGTTTTCAAACCTATGTTTATATGTATATTTTTAAATAAGTAAATGTTTTATTTCTTTATTTTTCGATATATGAAAATAGGATCAAGCATATGATTATTTTGTGTTTTGCTATGTAAATGATGGATTATACTTATGAATGAAATGAAATAATGATTTATACGTAAATAACGATTTTATGATAGTTACGTTTTTACATCCTTTAAAAGTGAGATCATCAACACCAGAATTAATTCTATGGCCCTAGCTAATGGGTTATAGTAGTTAGCATGTATATAATCATATGGCCCTGGCTAACGGGTTATAGTAGTTAGTATTAAACCCTAGTTAGCGAGTTATAATAATTAGCAATGATCATGATGATGAAATTATCGATACGACCAATATCACGGGTTATAGCAGTGACCATTACTAACGATGAACTAATGATTTATGATGATTTGTGATGATTTATGATGATTTTTACAGATTGATCTATGATTTGATTTGATTACAATATTGAATAATAGTATATTTGAAATGATTTATGAATTAATATATTTGATATTGATTTATAAATTTTGTGAAATGTTTGACAAAATGATGATATTTGAATTGTTTTTGATATTATGATTTGATGAATGCCTTGGAATGATCTATATAATTTGTATGAAATCAATGTTTGATCAATAAGATGTGTGAGTCTATATTTGCTGAGCTGTAATTTGTTCAATCTTTATTTTTTTTTATATATGATATGAATAATAAATATGATTAATCTTGTAAGGAACTAAAAGAATATGAGTATTAGAGAACAATTTAGTGAATAGAATTTTATGAAGTATTGCTTCTTTTAGTTGTAATACTCAACATTAATGATTTGGAGACTTATTATTTAATTATTTTACAGATATTAAAACTTTTTAAAAATTTTATTTTATTTGAGGATTTTTCAATGATTATAGATTAGATTTTGTATTACTTTGAAGTAAAACTTCAAAGTAATATGTCGTGTTATGTCTCGATGTTAAGATGTAACATTTTTAATCTATAATTTTTTTATACAAAAAAAAAATTTAAGTTAATTTTTTATCCAAAATTCATATATGATATCCAAGTGAAGCATACAAAATTATTGATCTTTATACATGTTTATATATATTTGAAAACTACGTAGTATATTACAAATAATAAGAGCTATGGAAAATATGAAGTTCGACCACATTATTGACCATTGGCATTAGTCGGCATCGGAAAGTGGCACAATGGGCACAAATGACTGGTATTCAGCCACTTGACGATGCAATTTTCATGAAAGAGATGAGAACATGGCATGCTTGTGAGATCATCCTTTGCCTGCAGTGAGAGTTCCTCAAAGCAAATCACACATTGTTCGGAAGAAAAACGAGGAATAATATCTCCAAGCTTGACCTTGCGTAATGCCTGTATGGATTCTTTAGTTGCAGGCACTGGCTTCAGAGCTGTTTCTGCCATTGCTTCTTCCATTGCCATGTCCTCATCTGCCTCTGCAGCCTCATCTTCCCAACGTTCCCATCTGAAAACACATAACCTTATCGGTACTACGCCGAGTTTGGAATTCTCTTCTTTATACAGAATGAAGATTATTTCATTGAAAATTCCATCCAGCATCTCTTCAATATCACCATCGTAAAATCCAGCGTCAGTTAAATGGTCAATTATGTAAACAATTATGTCATCAGAGGAAAGCAGTTCGGAGCGCCTCAACAAGCTGGTATCCCAAGATTCTTCAACTCTCTCTCTCACACGTCCATTTTCATCTTCAAGCTCTAAGGGTTTGAAAAACAAATCTAACTTGTTGACAAGCTTCATCAGCCCTACCAGGTTCTTCATGCTCATCCGGTATGACAAATCGGACTTGTTGAAAAGCTTGATCGGCCCTACCAGGTTCTTCATCCTCATCCGGTTGCCACACATGGGCATGATCAAGCTCCGTATGCAATTAACTCGACCTTAAACTAGAGTTTGTATGAGAAGGTGCGTGCATGCTTATATATAGAGTGATTTATTGTTATCCTAGTCCTAATGAAATTGGAATTGCATTATCCTAGTTAGATAAAACTTTACTAAACTAGAATTCTTTTTATTCTTAAAGATTAACTCAATTAAAAAAGATTCATATCAGTGAATCATATGATATCACATCATTAATGTAGTTAATTAAATGATACAACTTTATTGATGAGTAAATTTTAAATAAATAAATAAATAAATTTTTGTATATTTATTTTAAGATTGATATTCATTTATATATTAACAAAGTGAAATCATTCATGCATAAAATCTATAAAGGGTTCAGTTAAGAGCGGATTCAGTTTGATATTTTCAGATACTGCATAATATTATGAAAATTTAAAATCCGATATGAATTCGAACCGAACTTTCATTCAATTCAATTCGAACCGAATTAAATTTTACCGATTTGGTTTAGTTTGATTTATTGGTTTTTAATTTTTTAAATTATTTTAATATAAAATTTTAATATATTTAAATAGATTTTGATATAAAATTATTATTTTTATTTTATAAAAATTTAAAATATATATAAAAACTAAATATATATATATAATTCGATTCAATTGGATTTTTTTTTAATTTTTTAACTCCTGATTTGAAATCTGATTCAAACTTAATGTATACATTTAATATCTAAATTTAATCTGAATCGAATAAAAAAATTAAACCGAACTGAATACTACAATTTCAAATCGATTTTTGAATTTTTAAATTTTTTTTTACTCTTAAAAATTTAGACACTGAAAATACATTAAATATGAACTCAATTAGAAATACGTGAAACATACCATGTGTGTGATTCATTACATAATTAAAAAATAAATTATTATATTTAAATAAATTTTAATTGTAAGAATAATTTATTATGAAACGAGGAAAAAACATACTCCTATAAAACACTATATCATCATTTAGATAAAGAGATTAAAAAAAAAAAACTAAAGAGTTTAAATCATATACTAATTTTCATTACAAGAAAAATTAAAATTTAAACCACAAAAATTTGACTTATTAGTTCAGATGAATGTTGTAAGTCAAACATTAAGGATTAAGGGTAGATCAATAATTTCGAAAAATGTCGTTGTCTGATTTATTTTACATTAAATCACCGGCCATTAATTTGTTTACCATTCGGAACACGAAAGTGTGATTCTCCCAAAAAAATATCAAAGCCATACGCCGACGTCCTTAAGTCGTAAGTACCAATCTCAACTCACCAACAAATACAAAACCCTAAATCCCAAATTTCCCTCAATTCGACAAATTCCCCTTTCAAACACCCACAAAAAGAAAGAATGGAGCGACACCAAGAGCAAGAGCACGAGGTGTACGGAGGGGAGATCCCTGACGAGGACGGAGAGATGGACGCTGACTTCGACCTGTCTGGTGGAGCTGATGATTACGAAGGCAACGAGCATGAGCTTGAACAAGATCCCAATTCCAATTCCAAGGTTAACCCTTTTTTATTTAACCTTTCCTTAGCTTGAGTCGAGCTTTTTGTCTGATGAAAAACAACTTTTTTTTGAAAAAATATAAGGATTTGGAGGACATGAAAAAGAGGCTTAAGGAGATCGAGGAAGAGGCGGGGCTTTACGTGAAATGCAAGCTAAGGTTGAGAAAGAGATGGGCGCTGTCCAAGGTTCTTTTTTTCTCTTTTTGCTTTTCTGGGTTTGTATTTGATCTAAGTTTTGGCTATATTTTTGAACAATTTGACTGTTAAATTAAGAAAAAAAATGTTTTTAATTCTTGATTTGATTTTTTTTTTTATGGGTTATTGTGTTTGTGAATTGTTATTTCCAGAAAGCTTATTTGTTTTTACTTTCTTTTCCTGGATGTGTATGAAGATTCCTCAAGTGTTTCTGCAACCCAAGTTGAAAAGGAGGAAGTTGATTCCCGCTCGATTTATGTTGGTAATGTGAGGTTATCAACCCTTTCCTATGCCTTTTTTTTAACCTTTTTTTAGTTGTTGATTTGCCTAAATTGTCACATTTACGTTATCTTCTGTCCAATTAATATCTTGGTGATAAAATTCACTTGTAAGTAAAGCTAAAAGTATGATTCTGCTTTTACGGTGACCAATAAGGATGTAGGAAGAGTTTTAGCATTTAATCCTTTCAACCCAGTTTGGTTTTATGTTTGTGCATGTAATGTGGCTTGAAAATGCCTTATTATGTGCATTTGCTTGGACAATCAAGGCTTAGTTTGTATAGATGTCAAGTTCAATGTGATTCAAACAGTGGAAATATTAATGTAGTTTGTTGTATGCTGTGTTATGTTGTTTGGCTTCTTTAGGTAACTTATAAAAGGTTTATATTTACATTTAATAAATGATCTCCATGTAGTGTAATGTAACTAAATGATTTCTTCAGTGCTTGTGAACAAATGATCTAGATATGGACTAACTCTCTTATGTCTTTGTAACAACAGGTAGACTACTCATGTTCACCTGAGGAAGTTCAGCAGCATTTCCAATCATGCGGAACAGTGAACAGAGTGACAATTTTGACAGACAAGTTTGGTCAACCTAAAGGATTTGCCTACGTTGAATTTGTTGAAGTTGATGCAGTTCAAAATGCTCTACTGTTAAATGAATCCGAATTGCATGGTCGTCAGTTGAAGGTCTATAACTTGATTTATATATGGATTATTACTTCATGAATATAAACTACATGATAATAAAAGTGTGTTTGGTTATTCTCAGGTCTCTGCAAAACGAACAAATATTCCTGGAATGAAACAATATCGAGGAAGGCGACCCAACCCATATTTCCGCTCCCGAAGGCCTTTCATGTCTGGTCCTGCTTTCAATCCTTCATATGGTTATGGGTAAGCATAGAAATATGTTTGCTTTATTTGGTTGTTGGACAGGAAAAAAAGGATAAGTGGATATGTTTTGGTTTCTCTGCATGTTAGTTGAGCCAATGTCGGGTTTGCTATAATATATATCTGTTCTTTCTGAATTAGATGCATGGAAGTGGAAAACATCTCATGATGCTCAGAAATTATGCCTATTATGATTCTACTATCTAGCATTTGATATGCCTATATTGTTTAAGCTTTTTCTTGCAATCATGGCTCCGAACACAGTACTGACAAACTAGTTTAATTGGCATGGTGTCTGTTACTTCAGAATCTTTCATCTGATTTTTTTAATCTGTTGGTGTCAAATATACTTCTTTTACCCCCATGCTTGAGAGAATTGAATATAATAGTTTCTGCTTAACTCGGCTGACCTTATTTTCAGGAGGGTTCCAAGGTTTAGGCGGCCGATGAGATACAGACCATATTAAGATGGATCTCAAGTTGTCAGAAGCTGCAATTTTGAGAATACCATTACCTATAGTTTATAATGGTCATATTGTTGTCCTATAATATGGAGGGAGAAAGATGAACTGCAATTTGCTTGCCAAAAGGCTGGCTGATTTTCTCAAATTGTGAGCTTGCAGGAGTGTGATGGATCCATTAATTTGAGCTTTGCTTATGCTTTGCTTTGACGGGGTTAGGCAGAGATGCAAATGTTGTAGTGAAATATTATTTAAGAATTCCTGTTCGAAGATTGATAATTTAATTTTCTCAGCGTGGATGAGTTTAAAATGTTGGGGATTCATGTTTGCTAATGTGACCACTTTCGCATAGATCATAATGCATAGGAGGTTAGCTTTCCAGTTGTTCTTTCTTGCTTTAGTTTTCATCGAATTACTGACATTCTGCAAGATTTAGACATGGAAATTTAAAAAGATGTGTAATGAAAATAATACAAATAAAAGATACGAAGATGATGTTTAAAATTTTAATAAAAGTTATATATGAATTTTATAAAATAAAAAAATATATATTTTGTGTTTTTATATATATATATAATGAATTATAATATGTAATTTTTATATAAAATATAATATAAATATCTGAATTATTAATATTTTATATAATATGAATATATGAATTGTAGTTTATTGAAGTAGAAGATTCAAAACAAAACATGTCTTGTGTGGGTGAGAAAAAGTAGAATTGATCATTTGTGTATTATAGTTGGTGTTTATTTTATGTTAAACAAGCGTAAAATAAAAAAAAATGATTATATTAAATTTTGTGACATGTCAAATGTAAAATATAATTTTTAAATTTTTATCAAATTTATATATAATTTTATTAAAATTTTAAAATTGTATTATTTTTATTATATTTAAAATTATCAAGTCTTTGAATATTTTACCATTAATGAAAGATGAGCGATGGATATGGCATTGTGTTTCCACTTATTTAGGCAAATGGAAATTTTAAGTTAATTTCACATTCCATTAATGGTAAAATAAGAAGAAAAAAAAAAGTCGTAGGAACTTGAGTTGTGTCTTCAAATTCGGAATAGCTCCTCTTCCTCAATCTCCAATTTCCTCCGAAGGGTGGATTGTTACTTGCTTTAGCCAGTTTTAGGGTTAGGGAGGGTTATGGTTTTTGGAGCCATTAAAGATTCTTTGGATTTAACGATCAGTTGGAACTACAAGCTGAACCACCCCTTTTTACCCATTTTTATATTGAGTGATTCAGTGAGTTCACCTATTTTTATATTAAGTGATAAGGTTCAATGGCTTCCGCTAAAGAAAAGTGACAATGCTTCCAATACTCCTTTATAAGCTTCTTTTCTTTCTTTTCTTCTTTACAAAATTTCTGAAAGGAATATATATCAGAATGCCAGCTCTTTAAAAAAAAATTAAATTTTCAGGCCAAACGACGTGTAGAAGGATCCCAATGATAGCGGCAACTATGGAATTGGTGCAGTACCTCACCAACCCTATTTACATCCAGTGCTCAATTCCTCAATACTTAGGGTTTTACTGTGACTCTGTCTAATGAATTTTTTTGGCTGTTTATGCTGTTAGATTCCTCAAAGAAGAAGAATTCAACTCAATGCTAGAACAAAGTCTCACATTGGATAAATTTAGCTCTTGATTGTGTCAAAATTTGCTTATCTTATTCATTAGTTGTCTTGTTCTTTATGCTTCATTGTTTTTTACTTGTTGTGTATTCATTTGTTGAATATGCAAAATGGGGTTATTGAACCTTTTCAGGCATTCTTCATTGATACTTACTCGTTAAATTTCTGATGCAAATTTGGCTCAAAATCGCTATTTGGAAGATGAGGCGTTTATTGGATACTTGAAGTATCTGCAATACTAGCAACGGCCAGAGTATATAAAATTGATCATGTCAGCAACTTGAAAGCGTGCCATCTAATACTTTAGGCTTGACTTGCTTAAAACTAACTGACTAGTAGGGGAAATGAAGTAATAGCTTCCATAGTTAATATTATATCTCCCTTCGTTGGAGTTTTGTTATGTGTGTCACATGAACTGAAGTAGAAGGATGATTGCAGGTATCCTCATTGCCTATATTTCCTTGAACTTCTTCAAAATGCAAATTTCCACAATGCAATGGCACATCCTGCCAACAAGGTTTTGCTCTAATGTTTATTGCTGTCGTCCTGATTAATGTTATCACTTATTTGAAATTCTTGGTTCTTTAAATCTCCTTTTTAATCAAATCTTGGGGATCCCCTAGTTGTGAACATGAGATCATGCAACAATTTTTGTATTGGCCTGATGGTGAAACTTCCAAAAAGCTGATGCGGTTTTTTCTAAAGGTTCTATAGCTAGTTGTTTTTAGATGCTTTGTGAATTACCAATTTCCCTGTAGAATCAAACCAAGTAGCATATGTTAAGAGGATATTTGCAGGGATAACACTATAGTAACACTTGATTGTATGGATTGGCAAGCAAAATATCTTCATGATCAGTTGGTCACTAAACAAAATAGTAGTATGTATTTTTTTTTATCAATATAAGACACTATTTTATGTTTACCTTTAGGATATCTTTGTCATTAGTTGTTACCTGAAAGTTATAGGAATTGGCACACAGACAGTAATTCTTCTTCTGGAAGAACTATTTCATTGTGCCTAAGCCTCCTCCTGAACTAGTTGCTGCACCTGCACTCCCACCACCTGCTGCTATTCCACCTCAGCCACCTGTGCAGGTACCACTATTGTTATGACAACTGCTTCTCCTGCTCCTGCTTCAGCACTTTCTCCAATGCCATATGGCTCCCCCCTGGATCTTCTTTTGCAAAAAATGATATGAGGAATAGTGGAATTGATCGAAGAAAAAGGAAGCATGTAGGTTTTCTAACCCACAAAATTTTCAACTTAGTAGTTAGGTATATATATTTATGTTGTTCTGATAAATATCACTTTCACCATCACAGGAAAGAAGTTTAACTTGACAAACCATCTACATTGAAAGTAGTAGGGAAGGGATGTGTATTTCATGAGGTAACATCTATTGCAATGAAAGTGAATAGCCACTTATCCTATGTTCTTAAAATGTTGCTTTCTACTAGCATTTTGCCCAGAAAGTCAAAGCCCTACTGTGCTGATTGATATTGAAATTATGTTTTAGTGACTTAAAGCATTCAGATCTTCTTGATCTATGTACTTAGCCTTCTGTATTGATCAAGCAGTTTGTATGAACTTTTACACCTAGGACTTCTTCGTTTTAAATCAAACTATCACATGTCACTTGGGCATTTCTCTTTCTCTCTAATGATTTTGATAATTGATAATGACAAGTTATTTGCTAAATGCAATATGCTTAAATTTAGAGGTGAACATAATGGTCGTACAAAAAGCAGTTTATCTCCTCTTGCCATTGTTTTAGTGAACTATTTTTGTTTTTCTCCTGAAATCATATTAAAAAGACGTAGAATTTTTAAATCATACGGTGTGCTAATACCCTGCATGACCTTACTGATTTAAGGGGATTTTTTTCTTTCTTTCCTTTTTTCTGGTAGTTATTGTAATTTAAGTCTTTCCATCTATATCTGTTCAGTGTGCGGTAGAAAACCAGATCTGAAACCCCAGGGATAACCCCCCAAATATTTTAAAAGAACAAAGGAAAAGAAATGGAAACCCCCTGATGCAGTATTGGCCTATAACACCTCTTACCAGAGAACAGCTTCTCACTGACTATTGAGTAGATCAAGCAAATTATCCTACTTGGGGAGAAAGAAAGAAGGCGGGGGGGGGGGGGGGGGGTGTTGTTAGAAATTAGCTAAGTGTCTTGTTCCAGTAGAAGAAAGGAAGAAAGCTTGAAAAATTACATGATCTTAACAGGACTCCTATTTGTTTCAAAGGGGGAACAAGTCCTCAATGGTCTTTGGTTGTTAGCTGCATAAGATTTTCTTGGAACAAACAATTGTGTTTTTGGTTGGGAAAAGGCTGGATCTATGCTTTAGTGAGCCAGGCCCAACTTGTCCATCTGTGATTCCCCGTACCTAGTTTAAGTACATTGATCTTTTACCTCTTTTTAGCAAAATATTCAATCATTTTTGTCATGCTTCAATTGTTAGCAAGTTTTACTTGAGTCTGCACAAAGATCACAATTTTTCTTAATAGTTGCCTCTGATTCCCTTGGAATAATTCTCAAGTTATCTCTGGTTGTGAGGCCCTTTTCTTTTTGGCTTTCCTCACTGGATTCGTTTCACTTTCCTTCTTGTCTGTCGGATAACAGTGGTACCTGTTATCTCTTAATTAAAGAATATATTCTGCTTCTGTTCTTTTGGATGATTGGAGCAGAGCCCTCCTGAAGAGTGGTGGCTCTTGTTGGATGGTGAACGGTAACGCAAGTAATGAAGGAGTTTAAGCCCCAAAATGAAAATACTAAAACCACTTTGCTTCACTTTTGCATATACTTCTCCTATGTGGTTCATAATGCATGTTTGATTTCAGTGGTTTCTGTGACACTGACATGGTCATACTTGATCAATGGTCTAATGAAAAACAGAATCCTGTTTTATATCCCTGTTTTTTTTTTTTTTAACTGTAGTGGCATATTGGTTATTGCAGGTATCATTATAGCAAACATGTAACTTGTAATAAGAGAATTATTTTGCAGGTTTTTTGGGGCCATTGACAGCCGAACAATATCACATGGGAAAGGGTGGAATCATCTTATTATTGTGGCATCGTTAGAGAACAGTAAAACCAAAGGTGGGATTTACAGTTGGGGCCAGCTGTCCCCCACTTAAATCCTAAGAACTTTGTAGTGGCATGAACCATGACTGGATTGAATTTTTAGTGTCGTTTGGTAGCTTTGAAAAACTAGTACAATTTCTTATTTCCTTGGTGCAATATTTAGTTGATAATTTGATTTCGATATCACTCATTTAAACAATTTAAGAATGTATTTGATACATAAGATTATGATAAGATAAAATAAAATAATATTATAAATAAAATTAAATTAAATAATATTATTTTATTTTATGTTTGATTTGTGTAAAAATTAAGATAAAATAATTTATTTATTAATTAAAATTATATTTTTTCAAAATTTATATAATTTAAATTATTAATATAATTTTTAAGAATATAATAAAATATGTAAATTTAATTTAATAAATTAAAAATAATTTTTTTTTACTAAAAAGATTGAATCATCTTATATAAAAAAATGATTAAATCTTTTGTACAATCTAATTTTTTTAGATACAAATAAATATAATATAATATAATTAATATTGTATTATATCCATTGTTTATACAGTGAACATGATCACAGATAATATGATTCGCTTATCATGACTTCTTAGCTCTCAATTCGTGCTGGAT